CTTCACGGAGTACCTCTGTCGAAGAAAATCTCCCGCTCCAACAACCCAGAACAATATCACCCCGAAAAATATGAGACACTTCAGGAAATTGCAAAGTCCGAAATCGGGTTTCGACACGTCGCTGCTGCGCTCGCGTAATGATTTGGATATCAGATAGAGCAATGTCATGAGACTCAACAGGATAGAGTTCGGTGTATGGTGCCTTCTCATACCCAAGGGAAGGGTGCTCGGGATACTGGGATGATTTAAAATCACCTAGGCGTATATTCAACTCATTATCGACGAAGAACTGGCGCAAGGTAAGGTCTGAGTGGATCGCTCTATAGCGATGGATAACTTCCACGGCCTCAATAACTTTTATGTAAACCGGAGAGGACGGTCTCCTCGCAATATCCACGAGCCCATCTAACTTTTCCTGATCAGAAGCCCCTGTCGCACTGCCTGGGCTATGCCCTCCAGCTTGTAGTGTTTCCAGCCGGCCGTTACGGCTGTCTCCATTGCCATTTCCCCAATCAGCTTAAAGTCGACAAAGCTGATACGCTGGGCCTGTACTGACTGAAGAGTATCATACTCGAATCATCTGCTGGCGTATCCGCTCCAAAAAAAAAAACAGAGGAACTGCAGCGTGCCAGATCAGAGACCCTGAGTAGGTAGCAATTTCGTCAATTCTGCATTATTCTGCATTCGACTTGCCTTTATGTTGCAAGTGTCCCTACGTAAATCAAACACTGTGGGATGGGCATGGCAGCCCACTCACGTCAGCTATAAAACGGTATCGCCAAATAGTGAGAATTCTTCACCATGTCCTAGTCCACAGCCACGAATCACCTTGCGCATGTTTAGTATGAAATCGCAAACAAATATCGCCGTCATAGCAGGCTCAGGCACACTGGGCTTTGTTGCTTTGAAGAAAATCCTCTCCGCGGCGAAATGGAAAGTCGCGTCATAAAGCGCCCTGGCTCTTCTTCACACTTCTCTGCCAATGTGAATGTGGTCGATGTCGATCATACGTCCCACGAATCGCTCAAGTCTGCCTTCAGTGGCCAAGATGTTGCTTTATCGTTCGTGCCTACCCTTGCAGTTGAGTCCACAAATCGACGTGGTCGACGCCGCTGCACAGACTGGCGTTTCTTGACTCATCCCCTCGGAGTTCAATGCAAACATCGATATTGAAAAGGTGCGCAGCCTTCCTGTGTTTGTGCCAAAGGTCAAGGTCCAAGAACATTTGATTGAAAAGGCCAAAGCTTTGGATCTTACACATACATTCATTTACGGTGGTGCTAGTTAGACGTCCTAAGCCTCAGTTTCATCGTCGACGTGTCTGGTCCGGCCACGAACGTATACGATGGAGGTGATGTACCTTCAGCGCAACCACCCTCGAGACCGTTGCCGATGCCATCGTCTCAACACTCAATATATGGATGAGACCAGAAATCGATTTTTCTTTGTCCATAGCCTCAGGACCACCCAAAATCAAGTGCTATCCGGGGGTGGCGCCTGAAATGCCGGGGGAGGTCGTACCCGTTGATCTTAAGGGTGTTATCGCCCAGTCTGATTGAACAGAAAAATGACAGAACTGACAATTACAAGACAGATACTGACAAACAATAATATGCACTTTTGTGGTATTCCAAAACTTACGGTTATGTGGGATCTTCCGTGTAAATACCCTATACATCCATGTATTCATCTTCATCTCTGGCATTAACTTTCAGTATTTGCATCAAACTCGTGGCCGGTCCTTCTGGCCGGAAACCAGATCCGACCCGCGTGACTACCTGGTCGAGAACAGTTTAGTTGTGAATTGATGTTGCCATAAATACTCAATGGTTTGTGTTCTAACTCAGGACAGCGTGTTTATCCTCCCACTATGCCTGTTGAGGAAACCGAGCACTCTTCTACGCATACCGGGTTCTGCCTATGTAAAGGGGTTAGCTTCATAGTCAAAGGCCAGCCAAATGCTGTGTTCTGCTGTTAATGCGAAGACTGCACTCTTGGAGCAGGAGGACCTTGCCAGATTGTGAGTATCTGCCTCTGTACCCCATACTAACAGAGAAATTTTCAACGAACTCTTCCTAAGTTTGACCTATGGTCCAAGACAGCAAGCTACTTTTCGTCCCATTTCGCCCTCCACGATCCGGACGGTTTAGTCAGTTGTTTTACAATCTCCAGCACTATAAGTGGGAAAGTGAAAGATAAATACTTCTGCAAGCGCTGTGGATGCATCTTATTCACCATTCCTTTTACCGATGACCGCAAGGAAATTGTGATCAGACCGGCTCTGATTAAGCACGGGTAAGGGATTCTGTGTTCCATATGGAAACCGCTTAGTCTCTAACTCGGTTTTCGCAGATTGCATCTCTTCCAGCCTTCCATTGAATGCTTCGCGAAAAGGCGCCCCAGCTACTTCTCTGCTTGTCAGTCTGCCATACAGTACGACTTGATGCCTTAATAAGTGTCAGGAGTTTACGATAACTAGAAATCTTGCATGTGCGTCTTACTCCATAGTAATGATTTAATAAGTACAATTTATGGCGAACACCCGAGTGAAACGATAGACCTTTTGCTATATCTAACATTTTTTCTATTCTCAGAAGGAGGACAATTTTCGACTGCATCCCGCGTTCAGTTATCAAGGATTTTTCCCTACCCATTTACACCCGAGATGCCCAATTAGTCATAACTAGACAGTGAGCTTCATGCCGCTCGCATTTCCCCTCTATAAACTTTGCTCAAGGCCCTGAACGAAGTTGCGAGTGCTTAGAAGGATTATCGGAAGGCTTGAAGTCACTTAGGGAAACCCGACGCGCAGGGTGCCCTAACCAAATCCTGCGAGGAGAATCCGTTATTGGTGAAACTGGCGACCCTTCCGGCCTTACAGCCGTGTGAGTACGAAGCCAATTGATTTGCATCAGTCTCGGTCCCATTGTCTATCAGGCCATTCCGAAATCCTTCTCCCTGGTAAAGGGGTGCGAGGCTCCATACCTCGAAATTATGTGCGGGTTGGTCTCCACGCATGGGATACGCCATGTTACTCCTATAAGCCATGAGACTGGAAACGACCGTTAAATGTGTGTAGGATTTGGCCGCTTGACCTGGCCACGTCGTGTCTGCGGGGCGTTCTTTCAGCAAGTCCCCAGAACGGACAAGGAATTTCCTTCCCATACCGTTGTTCATCATGTTCGTCCCTCACATCCCGATAATTCCGAGGGAAAACGAGGTGGGTCCTCGGCTTCACATCCGAGATGCTGGACCAACCACGTGTGGCTGGAACCGGCTCGGGGCCCCGAGGACCCACTAAGTGGGCGATCTTGGCGTACCCACAGCACCTAAGGGTGGGGCGGCATGTAATTGGCAGTCAAACAAGGAGACAAAGCATATTTGCAATAACTCACGCCAGAACAAGTGATGGCCATATAGCTAGGACTTTCAAATGTGGTGAGCAAACATATAATCCCTTTGATTATCCCGTTTCCTATATCTATTCAAGCTCTAGTGTGTTAGACGAATTTTCAATGTCTATATTAAGGATTTGTGCACATACGGCGTCGGCCCCCACGGGACAGACCTCCAGGTCTCTTCCTCTGTCTCTTCCTTCTCTCTTCGTCCACTTCGCGTTATAGGAATTACGCACGTCTTTTCTCCCATAGAGATCCCTTGTGTAAGACTATCGGCGCCATTTATCGTCGCCATATCATTGCGGTCACGACGCATTTCCCCTTGTCACAGTACATCTGACATATTTCTCTGATCATTGTCGCGTATAGTCTAGTAAAGTGTGGCTCGTTCCTCACATAATAGTTCGCAATAGGGTGAGAAATTGTAGTCGCTGGCGAGGACTATAATTAAGTGGTGTAAGAGAGTTCACTGAACTCTCTTCTGAACTCTCTTCCAAAGTTTCCTCACTCGTCGTCCTATGGTCGTATTCTAGACTTGGGGCAATGCACCGGGTGGCGGTTGGTTTGGCCTCCCCACATTCCGCACGTTTGACTTTATTGATGATGGTCTTGAGTCCTAAAGTCAAGGTCTTGGAAGCTTCTCCACTTCTCCTCTCTCCCATGCGAGATTGCCTGGACATAAAACCATTACGGAATCTGTTGTCGCTCTAGCCAGCAGAGACTGAGTGGCTGTAACCCCAACGTGCTAATAACAGGTCGCACACTCTCCATGTCAACATGACGGACCGGGTCGGCCAAGACCCCGCCCAGCTAAGTCAGAACCAGCCGGTTGGCTTCAGCATGGTTGTCTTCATTCCCATCGCCCTCTACAATGCCCTCGAGCTGATGGTTCTTATCCCACTCAGCTTTAAGCGGTACCACAGCCTCTACTTCTGGTCCTTGTTGACTTCCGCCGTTCTTGGAGTGGTTCCGGCCAGCATTGGGCACTGAGGGTTCTCCGTCCGAATTTGGGGATGGACGCCCGACTGTCTGTGGAGACCAGTATCGTCCGTGACGCTTGAGGGTCTTTCGGCTCTTCCGAGACATCTGTTTATTTGATGAAGGGTCGAAACTATCAAAGTAATGGACCGGTCTTTCTGGAGCTAAGAGACATTTACATTCATGTGGAGTTGGATTGTACAGAGCAGCGGATTCTGGCTCCTGTTTCGGAATGCCCGGTGGATACTGGGATCCATACGCCAGTCAATGGTGGACGTACAGGTTCGATCTTTTGAAGGAACAGGACCCCCTTCCAATAAGAAGGACCATATGACTTCGGGTCCACTTTCCGAGCCTTCCCCAGACGGCGAACTCCACATTATGGGCATGGCCGAAGTGATCGCCCAAGAGTCGAGGCCGAAATGTAAAGGAGACAAATGTTGGGGTTGCGGGGGAATGCGGAGGTTGCGGGGATAAAGGCTGAGGTGTCTGAAAGCTCGCTAGACATGACAGCGCTGATGAATTCAGAGGAATCAATTGGCCATAGTTGCTGACAGCGGGCTATAAAGATCAGAATCCCCCGGTTCTTTCTAGACCAAATTCAAGCACCCATTGGTTTTAACTATGACTATCTCCGATTTCCCTGAAACGAAAGATGACGACTCGGTGTTGAAGCCCACTGAGACCGTGACTCAGGATGTCGTGTTTGGCGAGATCACAGAAGATGGACCAAACTATCGCAATGTGCATATGGAATTGAATCATTGAAGATTAAACCTCCCAAAATGCTAACCTGTCTTTAGGTGAGCTTTCCAGGAACGATCATCCTGATGATGAAAACCCAGATTGGCCTAGGAGTTCTCTCCATCCCAATGGCTTTCGACTACCTAGGCATTGTGCCTGGTGTTATTTGCCTTTGCGCCATCGCAGTTGTCACCACATGGTCTGACTACGTTATTGGTACCTTCAAGCTCAACCATCGTGAGGTGTATGGCATCGATGATGCTGCTGCTTTGATATTTGGTCCAATCGGCCGTTGGGCTTTATCAGTTATATTCTGTCTTTGTATGCTTTCCTGTGAATAGATCAATAGTATCGACTTACTGATATCGGCATAGATTGGGTATTTGTCAGCGGTTCCGGCATTCTTGGAATCTCCATCGGGTTGAATGCACTCTCTACGCATGGCACATGCACGGCTGTGTTTTCTATGGCTGCCGCTATTCTTGGTTTCTGTTTTAGTAGTGTGCGTACGCTTGGTCGTGTCACTTGGCTAGCATGGATTGGGCTTCCATGCATCCTCGTTGCGGGTATGTCCTCCACAAATCCATCAAGAATATACACCGTTTATTTACAAGTTGTTAGTTATGATCGTCACCATTGCCGTTGCCCTCCGGGATCGACCTGCTGCTGCGCCGATGACCGAAGGCCCCTGGGTCTCTGATGTCAAAATGTTTGGCAACCCATCTTTCACAGAAGGTGTTACAGCAGTCTGCAATCTTGTGTTTGCTTTTTCGGGCACGCCGGGATTTTTCGCGATCATATCGGAAATGCGCAATCCTCGTCAGTACACGCCAGCTATGCTCGTTTGCCAGGGCGGTGTCACTACTATATACTCTGTTGTCGGTTGCGTCGTCTACTATTACTGCGGCTCTTACGTCTCCTCGCCCGCTCTGGGCTCGGCTGGTGGTACTATAAAGCAAATCGCTTATGGTTTCGCGTTGCCAGGGTTGATTGTTACTACAACGATTGTCACACACGTAAGGTTGACAGGCAAAACATTTTGAGAGGATAATTTTACTTACTAGACCACATATGCAGATACCAGCCAAGTATATTTTCGTTCATCTCCTCCGCGGCTCTCGACATTTAAACAGCAACAGTCTCGTTCATTGGGGATGCTGGCTCGGCTGTACCTTCGGTGTCACCGTGGTCGCGTACATCATCGCTAGTAGTATTCCTATTTTCGATTCACTCGTTTCTCTTATCGGTTCGCTGCTCGGGACAATTTTATGCTTCCAACCCTATGGCTGTATGTGGCTATATGACAACTGGGGGAAAGCTAAAGGTAGTTCCCGGTCTTGGTTGATTATGGTAGGATTTAGCATCGTCGTCATAGTCGTCGGACTTTCTTGACGATTGCGGGCACCTATGGGTCGGTGATGGGGATAATAGACTCTTACAAGCAATCAGGCGGGGCGGGTGCTTTCTCATGTGCGGACAACTCAAATTCTACATAGCTTCTGGGAAGGGAACCAAAATAGCTAGATGCTGTCAGATTAAATGAAGAGCTCGGACTCTGCGGGCGGTTCAAAATTGAATTTTGTACCCAAGAGTGGTCATTCCAGAACACAGTAGCTATCTCAAGACGATGGCTCGAAAAGTTGCTTTTCTAGTCCGGATTGCCCAAACTACACAACTCTAAAGCCGTTTTCTATGGCTCGGAATGTGTCCGAAAGCATGCTGCTAGTCGAATCAAATAGTGATTACGAGGTATGAATCCTGTTTGTGTTTTAACACTGCTCTCATTGGCTGTCTTACCATTATATAGTTGCTTCACTAATCCACTTCAGAGCATCACCTCCACCTCTTACAAAGAAAGTCTCACATAGTTGCGGTAGAATTTTACTTTACATTGGGATTTAGCCTATAAAGAGATCCTTCCCAGATTGCCATCAATGAAGGGCTCCATAATGCTCCCCAACCGAACAAGGTGGCCAAACAAACAAGCGCTTGGCGTTGATAATGGCACCCATTTTCCGTCTCTGTTTCTAGGCGGTCTTTCGCCACTGATTCCTGGCGCTGATCAAGCTGCTGATACTCCCAGCCAAACTGACAAGGCGGTCGTCAATACGAGCCAGGGACAGATCACTGGTTCGTATCGTCAAGTCGCATAGGTCTGTCACCAGCTGGATCCGAGCAGTCAAGCGCTCCCTTCATAACAATTCTTAGCATCCACAATCTCCAAGGAAGATAAGTATCATTAGGGATATACTTCGTAGACTTCTCATGAACAGCTCTTGAGTCACCTACCTCTCGTGGGGAGGCCAAGAGGATGTAGCTGCTGGAAATGATACTGCATAGAAGGGCTGCAAACCATGATCTGTTTGCGGCATTTGCCAATCGCTTTGCTGATGACAATTTGTAAATTCCTATAATATGGAAAATGATACCTGTATCAAGGGCTAGATAACCAGCGTAGCCGAGCTGGCTTCCAATTGATAGAAAGCGTAGTATGGGATCGACGGGGTTCTTGTCACGCAGACTACGGACCGCGGTGTTCAGATTGTCTAGAAAATTGCCTATGCGCAGGATCATCTATCTCCATATAGCTTCGAAAGAATCGATCGCAGACCGGGAATAATTCAAGCGATATAAGACCGTCGAACAGAATCGCGAAAAGTACTGGATCATGCGCAGGAGCTTATCTCGTCCGGCCATGGGTTGGCAGAGGTTAATTTTACACTTCAGCGGGTCATTCTAGTCAAGTAACGACTTCAACGGGTATCTCCGGTGATGCCATGTTCAAAAGAAATTCACATACCAGTTGTTGCAGTGTAGCGCAAGTAATGCGACAACACAGGTGCGTGCATGAGGGTTGCGCTACCCATTTTTCGGGGAACTTAGATTCCGAGGGTTGACGGGTAGTCTCCGACAATTTGCGTCTTCCAAAAAGAAGAAGACAATGAAAGAAATCCACTCAAGTGTAAAAAAGTGTGCTGAGGACAGTGATCATATGAAGATACCGCATGTCCGAAGCCTCTCAGAATTCGACTTTAGAAGACGCTTACCTCTCGCAAATAACGTTAGATCAAACAATTCTGATCCTGGGCTGTATAGGCCTCCCAATGAAACAGGATAGCAAATATCGGGTACGCTTCCGAGGGATCGGGAGACCCGAACCCGAGGTCACGCAACAACACATTTATCATTCCCAACATTCCACTCGTCACCAAATCAACAAAGCATCTGTCTACATCCCCAGTCGTGAAGATCCCCGACTGAGGTATGCCTTCGGATCCCATTCCCATCGACCCTTCCTACCAACCCAAAACTTCGATCGTGAAAGTTCCGGCAAACGCTCCCACTGAACACATCCTGGCCATTATAGAACGTGATGGAGGAATGATTTTGGAGAAGCTTGTCTCACAGGGTGAGCTTGCATCCATCGAGGAGGAATCGAAGCCATGGTATGATAAGAAACGCCGCCACACGGATTTAAAAGCAACTATTGGCTCAGACGCTTTCCATACTATTCCGCGGCAGACAATAGTTGTCCCAGGCCTGGTTGGCAAGTCTGATACCATTGCAGCAATCTGCGAGCATCCTGTACTTGAGCAGCTACGAGAAATATTCTGCGGAATGACTTTTCCGTGTGTCGTGAGGACTGGGAGGAGCTAAACACAATCGATCCATTGCTTAGTGTGAGTCTCTCTCTGAACATTGTATATGGTTCACCTAGGCAGCGGCTACACCGGGATGATAATACTCACGGGGTTCGACATCCTAAGCCCGAGGAGTGGGGTTTCCAACACGCAAGTCAATTTGGCTGTTTGATTGCCGGGTGCGAAGTTACCAGAGAAAATGGGGCCACTATGTTTGTGCCGGGGAGTCATAGGTGGGGCGACGATCGACTGGCGACGACAGATGAGGTTTGCTTTGCAGGTATTACCAATGGAATTCGCAAGCCCCTGAGATTCTCTCACTTACGCCTTACAGAAATGTCTGCTGGCTCCGCTCTCGTTTTTCTAGGGTCTGCCTTCCATGGAGGAGGACATAACTCCGTTCCAAACTCAGTTCGGACAATGCACAGTCTGTTTTTCATCCGAAGACATCTCCGAACAGAGGAGAATCAGTTTTTCGCCGTCCCTCATAGCAAGGTGCGCAGAATGAGTCCGAAAATGTTGAAATTGCTGGGCTATACCAAGCCCACAACGGAACTGGGGATTGTGGAGAATATCAGTCCTCATGAGGACTTGGAAAGTACCTGGGCAAGAGCAATGAAGTAATGAACGGAGCGGTACTATCAGGGGAAAATACTTGTGATAATACATTTTGTGTACATAAAATCTGTCATCTTTGACAGATCATTTCTTTAAATCCTTTCATCTCTTGTTAGGTGGCCTGAGGGATCCCCCAACCACGGAGACAGCACCTGTTTACTATCCAGTAGATCTCCCTATTCCTCTCTTTCACGTCTCTCCCTGTTCGCTCCATGCCGTAGGGACCAGACCCAGTCTTTTCTCTTTCGATAGAGACCTTACCTCGTGGAATAATCCATAGCCCTATCTCGGTGGTCACAATTGATGCTTTTGTGTGGTCGTTAATTACAAAAGAGAGAGGGGAAAAAGGAGAAAAAAGGAAAAAAGAAAGAAAGAAGGAATATTTCTGCAGCAGCATTCAGACTGTTTCTTATAGGCTTTGGTAATCTAATTCAGGTAACTTAATTTTATGCTGGTCTGAATTAAGACTCTTGATGACAGACCGAACCAGTCTAAACCACTTCAGCGCTTTCCATAGTGGTATCTTTCGTCATCTCATTCATGAAAGGACTGCGTGCACGAACTTCTTTCCCCCAGACAAACATCAATGTGGGGACAAGGGATAGCACCAGGGAAATGAAAGCAAGTAACGTGCTTGCCCACTGAACCCCTAAAGATGTGTACATTCTCAAGGTCGCCAGTGGTAAGAATGCAGAGAAGAGATTCTCGCCGGTGGCAACGGCTCCCATGGCACTACTAGCATACTGGCTGTAGGCATCGACGACATAGTCAGATACACCCGTTACCACCAGCACACTACCAGCGCCTACCAGACCCAAACCGATTGCCGGTGCAATCCACGGAAGGTCGGTATTGGATGTCCAGGCGTAGGTAAACATGCCGCCTGAGAGGCCAAAAACACCGCCCAAAATTGCCATACACAGTCTAGCCTCTGGGATAGGCTTTCCGGGAAATTCTTTGTTGCGCGACGCAGATGCAAAGTAAAGCGACCGTGATATGAAGTTCAAAAACCACCCTATGCATTCTCCAATGACAATGGAGCATTGGACATAACCGGTTGCCGAGACATCCCAGTCGTATAGCTCCATAAAACCCAGCTCAACCGACTGGGTGAAAATGAAAAGGACACCCACTGTGAAAGCTGACCACATAGTAGACACAAATAGAACGGGCTCCGTGAACACCAAAATCACCGGCCTAGTCGCGCTGGTAATAAGGCTTCCGAAATTTATCTTCTTGTGTTCGTCTCCGGGGGACGCGGTCTTGTCGACCCTGGAAACATCTGAGCTCCAGTTGAAGTTTGAATATTATGGGCAACAATGGCGCCATTTTTGCTCATTTCTTTTGCGCGCCCAGCGAGAATTGCACTTCCACGCGATTCATAGAAGAAGAAATAGAAAACAGGGAATAGCGCTCCAAACCAGATAAGCTGCATATAGCTAACCCATCTCCACCCGAGAGACTGATAGATAGCGGCTCCCATAACTGGCCCCATGCTGCTTCCGGACATATAGCCGAATATATACAAGCTGACTGGAATTGACCGTGACCATTCTGTTTCCCAGAGATTGCCGACAACTCCAGCAGCCGTGTTAGCCAAAATAGCGACACAACCGCCGGCGAAAAAGCGTGTGACCACCAACGTGGCAAAGTTCTGGGCGACAGCTTGGGGCACGAGAAAACATAATAGGATAGAGTATGTTGAGAGGAAGACAGGTCGGGTGCCGAAATCTTCTGCGAGAGGAAGAATGAGCAATGCAGAACATGCACCTCCACAAGCCCATGTTGTCACTGGCCAGTAAGAATTTGGGGACGTCGCCTCAGTGACACTAAAGATCTCTGAAATTTCAAAGTGTGCAACCGTGATGATAGTCCCATTCATCATCGTGAGGAAGGTGGTAAAAGCGGCGAGACAGGTGAGGGCCCATTTGCGTGAGACTGGCCAGTTGAAGGGGTTCTCGGGGTCATCTTGACCGTTCCAAGAAGGCGTCGTATGCATTCCGCTGCAATCGGAAAGAGCTGGAGAAAACTCGTCCAGGATCGGACTCCGGGAATGCTTCTTTTTGTCGATTGCCATCTGTATCGGGCGCTGCTTAGCAGAAAGCGAAGTTTTTGTGTTTGTATTGTCGGAATGTGTTCTCCAAGTGTAGGATTAGAATAGGCGCAGTGGAATAAACTACAAAAATTTTAACTATCGTGTCTATATATCAATCCATATGTAATTCTTTACCTAGACTCGGAAGATCCATATCTCCAGATATTTACTTCTTTTGGAGGGAAGGTTTGACGTGATAGCGGGACTATCTCACTGTGGAGTGTGTACGGAGTACCAACGTCGTCACATATCATTGTTGATTGGCAAGGTCAATAATTCAACTAGATTTGCATGAGGTCTAAACCTTGTTCCACCCGAATGGGCCTCGATTTGGTCACCCAGGGACGACCCGACAGACTCCGGGTCGACTGTAAAAGATATATCACTGCAATGCCAAGTCTAGTTTCCTCTAATGCCTGTGGCCCGCTGTATCTGCATCCCAAGGATTGTAATGGGCCTCGAAGATCAAGGTTCGGGTTCGCGAGCCGAAAAGCCGGTGTCTACGTATGTGGTGTGCTAAGAATGTCTTGCTCTCTAGGAGGTCGACTAAGATTGGATATTGAGTGGACTATCAATTTTTCTCTTAGATGCCTTCTTAATTGCGGAATCCCAGTGACTGTGGGGTACTCAGAACCCGAATGACCCGTGGCCCCTCGGGTGAGAACCCGCTGAGTGTCCAAAATTGTCCCGGATATAAAGCCCCACCTTGTTCTCGGGTCTGCCGACATCCAAGGCAGGGCATCGCATGACGGCCCTTACGTAGCAAATTTTTAGTCCGATTAGAAGCTTCGATTTAGTCTCTCTGTTTGGTTTCTCCTCTAGTCCTCTGTTGGCTTACAATAGGACTGCTCGATTGCGCTTGTTCCCTACCGTCGATCAAGAGGAAGTTGGCCTAGCTGTATATCTTTCTCGCCCCAGTAGCAGCTTGAACATATGTAGATTGTTAGGGTGGTGAAAACTCGATGATATTTTTCTCCTATGATGGTTCGTGCAGGCCCGAGGGCTGCGGGTATACCAAGTCCGCCGAGCTAGTACACCTGCAGGCCTGTATTGTAGTCTGACACCTACTAGACGAACGTCAACATGGGATTGCCTCGGGCTTAACCAACCGGGATGTCGACCTGCTTTTCCACATGTCCTGTTTGTATGGCTATTGCCAAAGAGGAAACCATTATTCTACTTGCTTACTGATTACGTTAGATGATCCATACATGTCCGACTTGTACGTGGAGAAAGGAGCAGACGGCCTGTTGACGTGACATGTAGGTTATCTGACAGAGTATCTTCATCAATATTGAATGAAATGCTGCATCAGATTTCCGAATCTAGAGCTCTAGAGCTGGGAGACTATCTAGAGTTTAAGTACGATTTTTCCAATCTGCTTGCCCTCCCAGACATATTGCAATGCCTCCTCCGCTTGCTCGAAAGGGAAGACCTTGTCGATAAGATTATCAAGCGGCGTCTGACAAGCCGACAGTGCAGCACAAAAATCTTCCGTATCATGCTTGGACCCTGCTTTGATACCCCTATATCTCGTATTAGCACATTCCTACACAGTATCAAGGCTCATGGCTCTCACCTCAGGATCACTCGACGGTCAATAATTGTCGGTACTAACTCTGCTAGGTCCATAGGGTTCTGTTTCGCGAGGTACCCGACCTGACTGACAATACCACCGCGCCGAGTACATTTCAAGCTCTTGACCAAAGATCCGGTTCCCCCGTTTTCAACAACGATATCAACACCGACGCCGTTGGTTAACTTCAGGACCTCCTTATCCCAATCTGGGTTTGTCGCGTAGTTGACTGACAGAATCGGTGGGCTTGCAAACGTCTCTCTCATTTGGTGGAGTTTCTTATCGCTTGAAGAGGTGAGGATAACTCTCAGTCCTGCTGCCCGGGCGAGTTTGAGTGCAAACATACTCACGCCTCCGGTACCTTCAAATTGTTCAGCAATCATGCTCCCCCCAACTCAATAACAAGGATACGAAATTTACCTTGGATCAACACTGTCTGCCCGATGCTCATGCCTTTCAATGCTGACCATGCGGTGACCCCAGCGCAAGGAATTGTCGCGGCACTAAGCCAGTCAAGGTAGGCTGGAAGCTTGCATAGTACGGCTTCGTCAAATACTATATGGTCTGCCATGACACCATCCTCGTCTGCTGCGAGCCAAGACCGTCCCAATTCACGTCCCGAGATATACTTAGTGTCGATGACCGGGCCAACTCTGTCCCCAATGACTAGGTTCTTCACCTTATCACCTACGGCTATAACCTCACCAGCTGCATCGTTGCATAGGATACCATTCGGCAAAACTGGCCAGGGGTTTCCGCCGTTTGCGATGTTGGCATCCCTGTAGTTGAGTGCCACAGCATGTACCTTGACCAATACCGAAGTCGGAAGGAGAGGTAGAGGTAGAGCCTCCTGCACTTGCTTCAACTTAGGCGTGCCAAGGGTGTATAGTCATCGGTTCGACGAAAGGCGCGGCGGGTGGTGATTTGAGTGTTCGACATGCTGACGTATATGAGATTGTTCACTCGCAATAGATAGTTATCGAGCCATTGATGCTGATGATAGCCCTACTTATATTGGAATACCCTACCTTGTTAAGCTGGATTGGTAATCGTGCACTGAGTGTTGGGGGGGTGGGGCATACAGCACAAACTGGAGAAACTGGAGACAGAGTAGCGTGGATTTCGGAGTAACATTAGACGGGTTGATTCACTAGTACAGACATGGAACCCGGCACCTTGGCATTTAGTACTAGAAGTGGAAGGTATTCAGCGCTCCAATCATCTAGCTGTGCAGATCGAGTTGAAGTTCATCGGGAGACCCGATATACGCTCGGGCAGAGTGACCGTTGCTTGTGGTCCACTACAGACCAATCTGGTACGGGGAATGTCATGTAATGGATTACCTAGTTGCATAATTGGAAATAGAAGTGAATCTTGTTCATTATCTTTATCTTCCTCCACTTCTATCCCCTTCCTCGCCCGCGACATCGTACAGTATGTTGTGCCTTGAAGGCTTGTCTACTTCTGTCAACCTGCCTTTTACTTGCTTTCTGACTTCGGCTAAAAGGGTGTACAATACAAGGTATCATCCTGCTGGTTGACTTTCATTCTCGATTCTGCCGATTGTTCTGCCGGTAATGCGAGTTTGAGTCCGATCACCCATTTACTTCCGCTCCATCTTACCTTCTCTTTGACCGGGATTCTAGCTACTAGTATAATACCCTAAGATCTGGCCATAACTGGGATGTAGCACCCCTGGTCTGCTTCCGTTTTCTTTTACTTCATCTGGCTAGTTGTCTCTTTGTCACCACACCTACTCGGCTAGAAAACCCGAGTCGATTGAGGCATTGGCCAACATCTGACTCCTCTGGGGAGGGGCATGAATGATTAATGCGACCCTAGCTGGCAAAATACCATGTATCTGGGTTCTAGTTGCATATAAAAGACAAAGATATATCCGTCTAGTATTGGATACTTCCAAGCACCTCAAGCACCTCGCCAAAAAGAACCCACGCTAAACAGGTTGCTGATTCTCAACTACAGACATTTGGCTTGTTTTCATCATTTTCTGAAAACGCTATCCCACCAGAACAGAATGTCGGCTCATTTAATCGCCCGCATCGATGTCTTTCAAGTCGACCTCCCTTATTCAGGAGGAGTCTATGTGCTATCTGGCGGACGAGAATACCGCAGCTTTGACGCCACTATTGTCCGCGTGACCACACAGAACGGTATTGAGGGTTGCGGTGAGAGCACTCCATTTGGGTCCACATACGTTGCTGCTCATGCACTGGGTGTCCGAGCTGGGGTTGCTGAAATCGCACCTAAGCTGATCGGGCTTGACCCGCGGATGGTCGATCGCATCAACGAGGCAATGGACCATGCCCTGGTTGGCCATGAGCACGTCAAGTCCGCTATAGATGTTGCCTGCTGGGATATATTTGGCAAGTCGGTCGGAATGCCAGTGTGCGATCTTCTAGGCGGTCGAACTGCTGTGAAGCTCCCTATTATCTCGTCTATATGTTGGGGAGCCAGAAGAGATGCGCGCGCGTGTTGCTGAGCACCGAAATCGTGGTTATGTCGGACACTCAGTGAAGATTGACGGCGAGCCTGTGGCAGACGCAGCTAGAATCGCGGCATCGCTAGCCGATAAGCAACCCGGCGAGTTCTTCATTGTTGATGCCAACGGCGGACTCACAGTTGAGGTTGCCCTACGCATGCTGATATTACTCCCCGACCGACTGGACTTTGTACTACAAGCCCCCTGTGCCACATGGCGCGAGTGTCTCTCCCTTCGCCGCAGAACCAATGTTCCAATCCACTTTGACGAGCTCGCGACAAGTGATGCATCGATCGTTCAGATTGTTGCTGCTGACGCCGTGGAGGGGATCAGTCTGAAGATTTCAAAGAACGGTGGGCTAACCAAATGCCGCCGTCAGCGAGATATATGTCTTGCAGCTGGATATACGTTCAGTGTCCAAGACACAGTCGGCTCAGACATTACTTTCGCCGCCCTTGTTCACCTCGGCCAAACCGTTCCAGAGAGAAATTTGCGATGCATTCTTGAAACCCGTGATATGGTTGCATGCAAGACAGCGGATGGCCCATTCGAAGTTATCGATGGCCATGTCACTGCACCGAGTTTGCCTGGTTTGGGGATTTCGCCCCGCCTTGATGTATTGGGGCAACCTGTAGCAAGTTATTACTGAAAACTGTTGAGCCAGGGCTGTATAAGTTTATGAGTTACTGTCAAATACTACTCTGTATGCTTTCATACAAAACCTCCTGAAAATTTTCTTGTATAGGTAGAAGCAGCGTGCTGTCACCTCTGCGAAGGTGATTTCCCCTCGGAAGTTTTCCACTTTTGCTCCCATTGGCTCACCACTCACTGAACACGAGGCCCAATTTCAACCCCATGCCCAACTCTATATTTACAACCTTCTTAAAAAGACCTTCAAATCCATTATCCACCCTTCAGAATGGCCGACACAATCCCAATCGAGCTTCCCGTAATTGACATATCTAACCCCCATGACCCCGCCGTGGGGAAGGCGATGCTTAATGCCGCTGCAAAGTATGGCTTTCTATATGTCAACAGCAAAGGAACCGATTTTACCGTGGAGGATGTAGACTATGCATTCGAACTGGTAAGACTTGCACTTCAATTGATTGGCATCTATATCCACACAGCATCTGACCATCCCTATAGTCAAAGAAGTTCTTCTCGTCTCCCGCACAGGAGAAGGAGACATGTCGGATCCAGCAGAATGTTTGTAGCAAGACCGAAGCCAAACAACCACACATTTAGTCTAACTCCAATATCTCCAGAACCGTGGCTGGTCCGGAATGCATACAGAAACCCTTGACCCCGACCATCAGCGGGTAGGTCATGACTCAGGCTCACTAATTCCCTGGCATAGAACACGAAGACTAACATTGGATATGATAAATAGGCAGGGGACTTCAAAGAGTATGAAGCAACCATATCTCCAAGCCTTGAAATACTCCAAACCATGAACTAACCACCCAACTAGAGCCATGAACTTCGGCGACTTCAAAGACGGCAAAGCCCAACAGCCCCTGCCACCGTCACTGGTCCCCCACGAAGCAGAGATCAACGGCTTCGCGGAACTCTGCAACAAGACATGCACCCGAGTCCTGACTCTGCTGGCCCTAGGCCTAGAGGTACGTAACTAATCCCCATATCCAACCTTGGAACCAACCATATCTATACGCCCACCTCCATCACCACACTATCTATACAAATATACCAACAATCAACCCCAGGTCCAAGAAGACTTCTTCACAACCCGACACGACTCAAGCACAGGCACGACAGGCAGCATCCTACGGTACCTCTACTACCCATCGATCTTCTCGCCGTCAACAGCAACCTACAAGCACGACAAGGACGTGCGAGCCGGCGCGCACTCCGACTACGGCAGCATAACGCTTCTGTTCCAGCGGCCCGGCCAGCCAGGATTAGAGATCCTGACTCCGGAGGGCAGCTGGGCGCCCGTGCCCATCGTGCCCGGCCCCGCAGCCGAGGCCGGGGCGTATCCGTTCCCGCCTATCTTGGTGAATATCGGCGACTTGCTGAGTTATTGGACGGATGGGCTGTTGAAGTCGACTGTGCACCGTGTTGTCTTCCCGCTTGCTGAGCAGCGGAGCCCGAATCCGCAGGATCGGTATACGCTGGTTTATTTCTGCCATCCTGTTGACAAGACGGAGTTGGTACCCGTTCCTAGTGGGATTGTTGCTGCGCATCGGGAGCGCACTGGGATTGTTGCTGCGCATCGGGAGCGCACTGGGGTTGTTCCTGCTGATGGAAGGGTTGGGTTTGGGGGTGGGGCGGGAAATTTGGTGTCTGGGAAGAGGCCTTTGACGGCACATGAACATCTTATGTCAAGATTGGCGGCTACATATGGGTATACTAAGGATGAGTGAAGGTGAGGTGGGGATCAGAGAGCTTCAATATTTGGTACTCTACTAAGCCTGAATTACCAACTACATGTAGCTTACGAGTCGTTGAGTAGTTGTGAACAGCTGTTCGTGAGACTGGGAATAAATCGTAAAACGCCGGTGCCGTCGTGGCATAGTGCAAACACAGAAAAGACAGGTCCTCCGGACATAAATCAGAATCATAGATGGGATGTGCACCAGAATGAAATGCTCCAGATGACCATAACACGGCCCAAGTCGTCGGCAATGATGCCCATCTACTGACATAGGAAACTCGTGGCAGCGCAATTAGTTATGAGAGAAAACATAATAGCCCAAAAAAAAGTAAAAAAAGAACAAAAGGCAAAGGGAATATTGCCCCTGATGAGGAGCTCAGAATGAGATATACAGTCATGAGAAATGGTCAAATGTGGATATGAGCAATGAAAAAAGGACTCGCAAATGACGGCCCCACGTCAATGGACCAAGATGAAGGCAAGCTGTGCGAGAAAGGGAATATGAAAAGGCTAGACATGTAAAAGGTATCTTCGGGTCGAAATGGAAACGCCGCCAGATTCTGAAATGCCATGCGCGAGAGGACCTTGAAACAGAATGGAAGAGAGACGCAAGACGGATATGACGCTATGCGAGTCGGTATGCATGGAAATCAAAATGGAACAGCTCTGGGGGTCATCGGGTCGTATCAAGGGGTCGTGTGGCACCAGTGCCGGTGGTACACCCACGCGGATTTCTGGCAATCTTTGCTGCAGTATTTGGTGCGACGGCAACGCCGACACTTGGCGAACTGACGCTGGAACTCTTCCCACTTGCCACACTTATAATAGGCGCATTGGCGGATGCCACCTCTCGCCTCATCCTTACGGCAGAGGTTTCTCATGACCACGCACGCCCAGTATTGCATGTCCTTGGAGTGATGTCGAACAGTGAATTTCTCCACAAGGGGGAAAATGTTGACATCATCGGGAAGCAAGTATTCGTCTTCCTCGTCGCACATGTCAACTGGCGAAGAGAGGTCGGGATTCTCATCCAAAAGATGGAGCTCGTGATCAATTTTCAACTTGGGGACAAGGTGGGATGACTGGAAGTATGATCGGAGGTTGCAGTATTTGGAGACATATGCCAGTAGCTGAAGAGACATCAGGACATCCTCATCACGAGGCATGGCTGTCAAGACTCCTTGGGCTGCGGGACGGTCACGAAGGTACAAAGCGTAGGAGCTAGGAGCCAGAGTAGGAGAATTAGGATTGTTGGTGGCTTGGGTAGGGGAGAGAGCGAGTCCGCCGTTGGGTTGTGGGGTGCCGCCACCAATGATGCTGCCGTCGACAGTCGAACGATGAGTGATGTTGAAAGTCTCCGCCTCCGGCCCGCCTTCCTCAGAGGGATCAGTGACGGTCAGATCGTGGTTGTTAGAGACATCGTCTAGCATCGTTGTTTCTCGCTCGTCAACACTGTCAAGTTCCATCCGGTTCGGGAGTCCAACGATGGTTTCAGCGGGCTGTCCCATAGTGCTATCATCTCCCATGGTCGAGTCTTCGCCGTTGGCATCATCCGATTCACCGGACGCCGACTGCTGCTGGCGGATCAAAGGACGTTGGCGGGCGGCAATAGTTTGGGGAAGGCTGCGAGGTTGTGAGTGGAGAGGGCCACTTGGGGTGGTCGGAGAGTCGGGTTGGGAGACGATCCCAGTCTGCAGACCAGGAAGCATGCTAGGAAGACGCTCGGCATCACGCACAGGACGCAATCCGAATCCATCCGTGGTATCCATGGAGGGAACGGCTGTGGCAAGAGGTTGCATTGACCGCAGGCGATTGCTAGCACGTGGGAATCGCCCATCGTTGAGCCGGTGGATATGAGCTTCTTGGCCGAATGTACTGCGCTCCGGGGGGGATGTCATAGGGACACGAGGGGGAGATGTGATGTCCATGGCATCGGAGTCGTTAGGCTGGCTGTCTTGGTAGAAAGGCTGTGGGATTTCGATACTCGGCGGAGGGGCTTGTCGACGCGGTTGGTGCGACTCAACCTGTGGGTGTGACTCGGTCTGGGTATCTGCATCCATAGGGGTGGAACGGGTGGAGACGTCTCGGTTGCTGTTGGGCTTTAACTGTCTGGAAGACGCCTGCTTCTCGGAATCGAGATCGTTGCGCGATCGCACCTTGTCGACCACCTTGATGTAATTGTTCAGAATGGTGGCAATGACCGGGACCATGTCAGCTTCCACCACTCTTGTCCTCACGCCCTCAGAGCCCCGCACGCCAATGTTGACAACACATTGAAAGGCGAGGCTCCATTTCCACATTTCCAGCAAATCCTTGCTCCGACCTCCTTCCTTGAGGATGCATACGAGTCGCTCGATGCCACCATCAACGGTGAGGATATCTCGAATCCGGGCGGACGAGGTTGTGAGGTATGCAAGATGGTTGAGAGAGTTGATGAGCGGTAAAGTCGATGTGCAGTCAAGGGCACGACGGTCATAGAGCGTGGTGGTGATGTTGACCGCGGCCTTATTCACATTGGGAATACTAAAATTGACTTCCCGCATGATGAATGAATGACAACGGGAATGTGATGAAAGAGCGAGAGATTAAATGTTTTATCGATTGATGCAAGATGACATCCAGAGATCAAATGCAAAAAGATGAGGACCTTGATGATGTGTAATTCAGTCCAAATATGATGATGCCCACTGCGGATTAGGAACTCGCGCCGAGAGGAATCAATCCAAAGACATCAGGTGAATGAAGAAGTGATGGAGGTTTGGGATATTGGAGAGATGAAATACCCAATGACCAGAAGGGGGCGAAAGGGTAACCAAGACTCAAACTCAAGAGGCTGAGACTTTTAACGGAGAAATGAAAGAGAGACCAAATGCAATATGCAATGAGACGATAGACACGTCTACGCAGAGTATTCGATGATGGGTTATGATTGTCGATGGAGGGGGAGAGGAGAGGAGAGGAAGGCTCTTGCGAAGGCAAAAGCGGAGAGCGTCAGGTGCCTCCTTAATATTACCAAATATGGGTTGTACCCGACACAGAGTATTTTGGCGCCACCTTGGGAGATTTACCCTTTTCCTCCCTTTTTTTATCCCTTATGTTTTGATTGATCTTTAATTGTATAGGACACTATATTTTTGGGTTTTATTCTCCCCTTATTTTATCTCATTTTTATCGCATTTTCTATATTTACTCCGTACATCTTCATCTTCATCTGTCCTCGACCCTCTGTCACATTGGGTACCGACCTCGGAATTGCCACTTGACAAAGATCGAAATTACATATCATTCTTCACATACCATTACATGTCACAGGATCGGTTTATTTCTGTCAGGTCAAAATATGTACAACACTATCTTGTACGTATGCCTTAAGCCTTGAGAGTCTCCAGGTTATGCTGCCTGATATGACAGACGGCACCAGAGGCTGTAGATCTTGAGCAGTGACCATCGCAATCCACCAATGAACCCGATGAACTATTTGAATAGCTTCGGCCTTTTGTCCTGACTAGAAGAAGTTCGGTCCGAACTTCCCCACAAATGGAGCAGCTGTTTGTAATTGCTCTCCCTAGAATTCTCTCGTCACAAGTGTGATTCGACAGAAATGAGCTGTGTGTTACAACTAAATTTCGTCGACGTCAACAGCTTAAAATGACTAAATGACCGAGCCTCAAGATCAAAAAAAGGGTTCTAAATGTGTACTTTGTATGTTGAAGCTGTTTATTGTATATCTCCCCAAAGTAGGATATATATTCCGTCAACTACTGATCCTACAACATACAATACTCCAACTGGTTTCATGGAAACGGCCCGTGAAACAGAATCTAGAAAATATTCCGTCTGGCCTGGACTTTCTGACCCCTGATGGCTACACCTATAATGCGTGATATTATTGGTGGAGCGAGTTTCCCATCACCTCTCTGATACTCACTGACGCCATTTCGTCAGCCCTGAACAGGGTAGTTTATTTTGAGAATGTGTTTAAACTTAGCAACAAACAATTGTCAGCAGTTTACCGAGGGCCAATCGAATATCCCCGCACAAGTGATAGCATTGGCCCCCAAGTGCCTCTATCACATCTTGACAGGGTTTACACGCGCTTGCAACAGTGTGGCGCACAGACGTACTAAGATTAGAACACCTGCGAACTGCCGAAGGGAATCCATATCCGCCTTTTTGCACCTCGACCTTTTTCTCAGGTTTCAAGTCTGTTCGTTTCGTCCTAGGAAGACTTTGAGAAAACTAACAGACAATAGCGTCTACATCGGTTAGGGGAGGAATAATACTTTAGTTATAGACCCCTGCCCAAGATCGTCAATCCCAGCCCCGCCAACTAGTTCGGTTCTAACGGTCCTCGACATTTGATGCTGAACCCCATTGGCAAATTTCGGGATTGAAATTGTATTCCATAGTTCTCGGACCACCATCGGCGGCGGTCTTCGAAGGTTCGACTTGACAGAGGCGCTTGTGTGCACTCCCGGGAGTTCTTTTAGTACGAGCGAGATCCACTTGTGCCTTACGCATACTTCGTACGGAGTATGGAGTGCATTTATCATCGTTCTAACTGTCTTGATTATAGAAAGGGGTCTATCATATATGGCCCCTTTTCCATAAACAAGTCGAACTCGATTGCCGAAATATAGCGAGGCATGAAAGGCATTCTCCCCTACGGCATAGCAAGAGATGACCATGCAAAAGAATCCTAGGGAATTTCTAATATCGACGAGTGGACTGTGTCAGACCTTCAAATTTTTCCCCTGGGATACAATGCATTGTCTAGAGTCTCTTGTAACATGTCTTCCAACGTCCGTTGATATGCGAATTTCTAACTGCCTTTGGGACATTGTTTTATTAGACCACTGGCACATTCAGTGTAAGGGGTTAGAACCGCGAGTTGGATTTGTGCGCACAGACTTGTACTGGCACCGACAATGTGCCCTTTGAAACTCATAAACACTCGTGGTACATCAACATCCCATCCGATCGCCTACCACTTGAGTGACCAGAGAGACGCCATTTACTCAGGAGTAGATCCAAGGCGATAGACAATACACGTGATGTTGATATACATTATCCCCTCCTGAAGACGGAGGAAAAGGTCGGAACTTGGTAGACATCTATGTGCTACAGGCCTGAAGCTGGTCGTCGTCAGCAGAGCCCCATGCCCAGGTGGTCGGTTGGGGAATGTTTCTGAGATAAGCTCCTTCATGTCGTTCTCAAATCGGAAGATTCAGTGCATGGATTTCGGTGTACCTTGTAGTATGATGCAAACTATAACTGGTTCTGCTTGACTTGGGCTGAAGCTCATCCCTAAAGCTGAGGGCGTGGGAATGGTGGCACAGATATTGGCAGTTTCTCGTACTCAGATTCACTTGCTTTCTTTGTCCATGGGTGTTTGCTTGCAATTTCGTAGAGTCTTGTATAGTTTCCTTGCTAGGAATATGAGTCGGGGCATGACTGCCAAAATATCAACGGCATAAAGTGAGATCCGTTTCAGACTCCAACCCTAGCAAGCGTCATGACGCGGATATTCTATTTGACTTCGATCGTCCCGATCATTTCGGCGTTGGTGGGTGCCTTGCAGCCCCGAACTGAGACGACTTCACCCCTCTGCTCGAGGGTTTGGATCATGACTGTACGTGCATGTTAACCCATGCTAGGCCGACAGGTAATCATGGCTTTAAGACCAATGGATTTTACCAAGAGAGGAGGTTCGGGATCCCACTATTCCGGCTCAATTGCTTATTCGTGCTTTAATACACACATGTATGTTGTAATTACGGAGTAATCCCGTTGCTAATCTCCGATGAGAGCATCTGCATGACAGACGCTAGACGCCATATTGAAGATCCCGAGTGGAGATCTTGGCAGGACGTGTCCAAGCATGCATGTAGAACGTACGGAGTAGAGCACATGGATATTGATTGACAAGGACATCTTGCCCCTATATATGTATACAACATAGACGACAAACGTATATCCAATGGGCGAAGAGCGAATATGATATCGAGCGGATTTTCTCGAAATCGAAGTTGGAACGTCGCAAATAATGATCGTCGAGACGAGGAGCAAGAGAAAGCCAATATTCCCCGGGCCGGATTAAAAAAAGGGGCCCAGGCAGCACAATGGATTGTCCTACGGTGGAGACACCTGGATAGATGTCGCATTGTTTGGCTTAGAGGAAAAAACAATCCTTGCTCTTCAATTATTTCATTTAGATGAAATGCACTTAGCAATGTCCGGTAAACGGTTGGACCCGCCAGAACGGGCGCTGAAGCCGAACGTCACGACGCTCTACAGAGCAGGGTACAGTTGATACTGTATGTGTATGTATACCTCGCTAGTTGACGCTAGTTGAAGCTGATTGACGCCATTATATGTATCCCCAGAATTATATCCAATTCATCGTGATTCCGATGGCTTTAATAGCCAATAGTCCGGGACGGAGTATTGAAGACCAAGACAATGGGTCAGCCACAGGGCCGTGCGCCTGCACGAACACTCCAAAGAGGTGTGAAGCTCGGACCTATACGGAGTAGGGATATTGTCTAAGCATGCATATATTGGAAGGAGCTCAGGCTAAGACATGGATATATGGGTTCCTATGTAAGCATTTAGGCTCATGTACGGGATATAGGGTCATCTTCTTCACGTAGAGGGTCTAATAGGGGAAATAAACTAGTATTATACCCAGAATGGACATGCAGGATAATCCAATCTCCGTTAGCTCCCTAAAAATTACCTCTATGTAAACGGAAAGGGGGATGCAAGGGAGTCGAATTTAGCTCGTGAAGGATGTATGGCGTACTACACTTGATATGTCAGAGCTATTATACACCTGGGTTAACTTGTAGGAGCCGCGGGCGGTTAATCCCATACTTCTGTGAAATCAAGATTATCAGCGGCTATTAACTGATTCACAGCTGTGTTTTCAGTCTTGGGGCTAGTGGTCCAAGCGCACGGCCGATCCTAAACGCCGCAATCTTCCATCTTCTCCTGAGTTGAAGGCTCAGGAGGAGGGTAATTTTTTTGGTCTTGTATACAGATATGTAAAAGTACATAAGTACCTACCTAGTTAGGTATGTGCATGTACGTCAGCTTTAGTTCGAATATCAACAAAAGAAAAGAAACCGGCATCAGGTACCCGGAGAAAGCAATATGTGTGTATTGAGGCTGTATTGTGGAAGATACAGGATCCCAACTCCACTTGTAGAGATTTGGGGAAACAAAGAACTGCAAAAGGATTGAAAAACATTTAAAGACCCTGGACGATATGGAATACATATATGTATGGAGAACTCACACATGTAACGATTTTCTTTCATTGCAATACCACAAAAAACACAAGAAAGTACTTCTGATCTCCGACAAATTGATAGCAAGCCAAGGTATTCTGTTTATTTCAAGGTCTGTTATTACCACTAGTAATACGCTGACCTCCCTCTCCTCGGCCTTCACCCCCTGTTCCTCTCTCTCACTCTCTCTGGTCTGTTCCTTTTGTTCCTGTTGGCTCTTTTCCCCCATTTCTCTTATTCTTTTAGTTACCGTATTATGATCCAAGCCTGAGGCGCTTTCACTCGGTTCCGCCTTTCGATTCTCTCTCCCCTGCTTCCTCCACATCTTCCATTAAGCCCCCTCTCTACCATTCCCCCTCTACCAATCTTTCCGATCTCCATCACAATTGTTTTTCTCCGGGGTACCGTTTCGACAAAATGGCCGATATGAGCGGCGAACAGATGCAGGCCAAGATCACTGCGGCCAGACGCGAAGCTGAGGGTTTAAAGGACAAAATCAAGCGCAGAAAGGATGAGCTAGCCGATACCTCCCGTACGACTCCCCATCACCCATTGTTATGCCCTGGGTGGTTCCTCTTTTTCCCCCCTCCCCAGGCTGTTGTCAGCTGCCGTTGTCCTGGGAGACTTGATTAACCGTACTGACTTTTCCATCCCCGTCTAGTCCGTCAAGTCGCGCAGAACCAGACCGATGCCCTACCACGAATTGGAATGAAGCCCCGGCGTACGCTGAAAGGTCACCTCGCTAAGATTTATGCCATGCACTGGTCCACCGATAGGCGCCATCTCGTTTCGGCTTCACAGGACGGAAAGCTCATCATCTGGGATGCCTACACCACAAACAAGGTCCACGCGATTCCCTTGCGCTCGTCTTGGGTCATGACCTGTGCCTACGCCCCGAGCGGGAATTACGTTGCTTGCGGTGGTCTCGACAATATTTGTTCGATTTATAACCTGTCATCGCGCGAAGGCCCCACTCGTGTCGCGCGCGAGCTTTCCGGACACTCGGGATATCTCTCCTGCTGTCGCTTCATCAACGACCGCCGCATCATTACTTCGTCCGGCGACATGACCTGTATGCTGTGGGATATTGAGTCTGGAAGCAAGGTTACCGAGTTCGCCGACCACCTGGGTGACGTGATGTCGATCAGCATCAACCCGACCAACCAGAACATCTTCGTGTCCGGTGCATGCGACGCTTTCGCCAAATTGTGGGATATCCGTACCGGCAAGTCCGTCCAAACGTTCGCCGGCCACGAATCCGACATCAATGCCGTTCAGTTCTTCCCCGACGGCAACGCCTTCGGTACTGGTTCCGACGACACTTCCTGCCGTCTGTTCGATATCCGTGCCGACCGCGAGCTTAACACCTACCAGGTAATTATCTTTCACCGAGGCACTAATTTGATTGACGAAATCTGACGTTTGAATTCCTTCTTCCAGAGCGACCAAGTTCTGTGCGGTATCACTTCCGTTGCGTTCTCAGTCTCTGGTCGATTATTGTTCGCAGGTTACGATGATTTTGAATGCAAGGTACGCCGAGCCTTTTCTTCTTCTTCTAACAATGTGACTAAACTCTAATCCATCATTCAGGTATGGGATGTTCTGCGTGGCGACAAGGTGGGTTCGCTGAGCGGCCACGAAAACCGCGTGAGCTGCCTCGGTGTCAGCAATGATGGCATCAGTCTGTGCACTGGATCTTGGGATTCCCTTGTAAGTTTTCCTGCAATTGTTCATTCAAATGCCATCTACTAACTTCTAATTTTCTCTCGTGTAGCTCAAGGTCTGGGCCTGGTAAACCAACAAAACAAAACGCAAGATACCCCGTGTCGATCATTCTGCAATGCTCTTCTTCGAAATTTTTTAGGCCCGATGGTTCGAATCTCCGCCATTGTACGATAATAATCAATTACCGGGGAATCCCTTGGGTTCTCACGATAATACACTACCCGCGGCGCAGACATCGTCGTCGCATGCGATACGGAAGGTGATGGAGGTGGCTGTGAGCGCTATGGGATGCTGTCCCGGCGAACAAACGATAGCGATGACACAATACTTGTTTGGACATGACGAGAGCGCGACTAGTTCCCGCCGATGGATGTACAGTGACTGCGACCAGAAGGAAATGCTGGAACGAGTCGATCCATCTGACGCTTCGTCGCTCTCTTGTCTGGTCCCTTTATTTCTCCTTTGACTTCTCGATAACGCCCGTTCCCTTTATTTTCTTTCTTGAATTCTTTATCCCCCCTTCAGTTTACAATTTCATTCTGGGTTACCTCCGCATTGGTCACGACTTGTATTTTGTTGGCGAAGTCAAAAGAAGGGCCTGTTCGCCGGATTCTGGCCAGGATGGCTTTCGCCGATTTACCTCTGCGTTACCTTATTATTATTCTCTTCCGATTTCTCCTTTCTTCTCTCCTATCCCCTCCCCCTTATTTGTGTCTCCTCTAAAGAAAGAGTTTGTTGTATTTAACTGTCTTTGCGTTGGAATCTCTTGCTATGGGATTCTTTGGTGTCGGATTTTGATAATTGTTCGAGCAGCTCCAATTTCTATTTGTGAAATTTTTTCAACCTCGATTCTCCGATTCCGATTCCATGGACCCGCTGAACGTTATGGTGATAGTACCAGGCAACGTGTCGCTTCTTGCCTGGCTTGGTTCTCTGCAATGCGAGCGTGGCGAGCATCAGGCACGGTAAATATGTACTCGGTCTTGAACCTCGGTCCAGCCGCAGGGTAGAACTTGGCATCAGCCCTGTACTATATATGATATGTCCGTACTTCAACCTCAAAGTCGGGGGAGTTCCGTAGCAGCTTTCCTACAGTAGGCCCCTAAGAACAAAAAAGTCAATATCTTAGGTTGCTGGAACCTAGAGCCGTACAAGCACTGCCACTACCTACATGTACCTAAGGTAACTAGCTCTACGATGAAAGAGGATGCGATTAAACAACCCCCATGTATTCTGTGAGACTTCGTCTGGAGGCTATGGAGCCCAAATGCTCAGCCACGACTTCAAAGAACACACGAGAAAGCCAGGTTTGATTTGGTTGCGGACCCATATGGACCTCAACAACGTTGAGATCCTGGCAGGTGGCACCATGTGCTACGGTACCCTCTGCGTACACTGTCTCGTGGGCTACGGTTGAGATGGTGGTCCAGAGAGTTGGGGAGAGGAAGAAGAGAAGAGGAAGAGGGGTAGTGGGAGGTCTTTATACCCCCAGCAACGCGTACCTTCCTAAGATGGACGGCCCTTTGCTCTTGCCTCTTTTACCTCCCAGGGTCACTGGTTGTGGCAGGTGACCATGCGGAAACCCTACATACATAGTATAGTGATAGTATTGTCTATCTCATGCCATTGCGGAACAGAATTACAGCTCTAAGGAGATTACTGGTGAGAAGATATAACACTAATAGTAATAACAGCATGGGATATCTTGAGTAAATCAACATAAAGCCCGGACCCCGCCGGGCTGGAAATAGTAGGGACATAATCAGACAAGGAGAGAAGACAAACGCAACGTGCCTAATGGCAGAGAGCAAGATAGTAACCAGACCATCGGTCAACCGAGTCCCAAACCCATACACCCCCGTTCTAGTGACCAACGCCGTTTCAAGAAAGTCTGTTCTTGGTTGTTTTTTAAGCAGATAATGCATCCAACGTCAAAGACACCGGAGACAAAGAGAGATGTGGGAGGAGTGTGTTAGAGAGAGTAAAAGAAAAAAGAAAAGGAAAAGGAAAGACAGGTCAAGTCAAGTCAAATCATGCAGAGGAGATCAAGAGGGAACAACCAAGACGCCTTGCTGTTGTGCTAGTTAATGTGGACAGCTGAAAACATAATAGCAAAGAAAGTATCATAGCACGCGGTGCCTGGAATCGTCGTTAGTATACGTGTCAGTGAGAATGAACAAGGGCTTGGGGATACGCACAGCTTCAACAAGTCCTCGAGACTGTCAGCACTGCAGCTGCGGCCGCGAGGAATGTTGCGCAGGACATCGACGATGGTAGCAAAGACATCGCCGCCACGGTAGGCCAGCAGAGCGGGGGCCTTAATGTGGTCCATCTCCGCAATATCCTGGTGCATCTTAACGAAGCGGGTAGTTGGTTGCCTGGCAGCGATAGTAACCAGACATTCCTCGACGATAGCGCTGTCATCAAACTACAGAAAATAAATTAGCAACGTCCAACTTCCGCCATTATATCCCAAGACCAATTCCATACCTGTTGATCATAGATACAGACAACAACAACCGTGTCAGAAGTCACTTTCTCAATAGCATCGAGGTACCCCACTGCATCAACAGTCTCAACAGATCCAAACCGCCTACCCCGCGGACTGGGGCGGCGATTACTCCGGCCCTGCAGCTCATGCATGCGCGACTGGCGCCACTTGCGCATGAAACGGGCTTCATCGTCGTCTTCGCTGGCGGAGGACTGGTCACCTGCGAGGGGCGCGTCATCGCGGGTGGACTTTGAGCTGAAGGAGGGGCTGTTGGAGTCGAGGCCTGCGACGCTGAGGAGGGTGCGACGGAAGGACTTCTTGCGGGCGCGCTCGAAGGCCTGGGCGTCGGCGATGACGCCCTTGGGGCCTGTGTTGGCTTCGTAGACGGTGTTGGGGATGTGGTAGTTTGCGTTGGCGGTGCGGGAGGAGACCATGTCGTCGGCTTCTCCGTCGGAGGAGTCGGCTGTTTGACGGGAGCGGAGGCGGGAGGTGGGTTCGTCGTCGGAGAAGTGAGGGTCTGAGTCGTGGTCTTCTGGGTGGGAGGTGAAGCGTGAACGGTTACTGTTCACCAGCTGGTTGAATTCTTCTTGGGCGGACATATTGAAAGAAAGGGCGAAGGGTGGTTTTAGAGGGAATTAAGTTGGGAGATCGCGGATCGGGCACTGTGTATGTTTCGGGTTTGACTAGGATCAAGGATCGAGGATATGCGGATATTCGAAGATTGCCCCTGAAGTTGAAACGGAGGTGAGGCTGAGGTTGGAAGAGATCGTCGTGAAAGATCATGGGAAATGATGAAACGGTGAACAGCCCCCTTTTTCTTTCGTGTTTCAAGTCTCCACATGGAACATCCGAGCCCTGGAGCTTGTGAAGGTCAATGCAAATTGCTGACCTCGCGATATCTTTAACATTGTCTCTTTGTCAAATATATTCTGATAGAAATGTACTATTGTCAATATCAGCATACAATGTACTACATATAGCATATTGTATGCCTACTAAAAAAGCAAAGCCCTAGGTTCGAGGCTATCCTTAGCATACTTGGCACTTCGCCTTATATCGCCTTAAATAGAATAGCCTTCAATCACACTACCCTCGTCCTCTTTGAAACGAACCTCTACTAAGGCCATACCCCCTGAACTATGTGACGTGTCTACGGTGAAGTATCTACTTTAAGACAACCCCAGTCTATCATGTCGATCTTTGTGTCTAGATGTTTCTATTTTCTTTTCTTTTTCTATATCTTCGTATTCCCAGTTTAGTTTGCTATGCCGGCATGAACTTGCGTCGGCAACTCGCGTGCTTATTATAAGGATAACTACAGGGCTGATCCTGTGTATGTCCTTATTTCGAGTTCAAATGTCCTTGACGAGCTTGAGTACCTCTCTCCAGGGCCTTCGAAGGTTCCTTCCCCTGGATTCAAGCCTAGCTTCAAGTAATCCGATATCTAGACTAGACTCATGGTTCAACCTGTATGTGAATTGGAAGATAGTATTCAAGGAAGCTGTCATCCATAATCCTGCAGTATCAAGAGTATCGAGAGACAACACCAAGTGCAACTGAGTTTCGAGATTGGTATAAGACCCATAGTATCCAGTGCAAAGCATCGAAAGAAAGAAACCCATTTACAGAGTCTCCAATCCCACCAGTCTTCCTCTTAAGATATGAGTGAAAAACCCCAAGCCCGTCCCACCATCCCCAAGATCAAGAGAAAGCATACTCGCATTTTAGAACCAGAGAAGTGAGAAAGAAAAGAAAGAGAAAAGAGAGCCATCCAATTTCCTTCGGTAGTCCGCTAACTCCCCGTGTCAAAGACAGAAAAAAACATGAGAAAGTAACTAGACGTACGGTCGTGCTCGACCGAGGATACATAGCAGTAAAGAAGCGAAGACTCGAGAAATGAGAAGAAACGAGAAGAAAACAGAATACACACTCCCAAGCCTGGTTTCTCTCCTCTTCCGCTCGCTCGTTTGTCTCTTACAGGGCTCCGCGGTCCGCCGTGAAATCCCAGAGCATTTTGATCAACGCATCCGGAAGCGTGTACAAATCCACGTGGAATTCTCCGACTGTACAAATGAAGACGGTTAGCATTTCGTTCAGAGTAAAGGTCAAGCAAGCAGAGAAAGACTCTGGAGTTTCTTTTCTCTGATATACCCGAGGGACAGAGGAACTTACGCTCAACATCGTTCTTTGTGTATGAGTCAGCCGCCTTGTGGTCATGAACCATCTGCACAACCTGCAGAAGGTCGTCTTCGTTCAGCTTCTGGAGCCCATCGGCAAGCTTGTCCATGTCGACCTTGAGAGCGAGTCAGTCCTGCGCCAATCTCAGACCCATATCACAAAACAACTCACGTTCTTATCTGTGCGCTTCTTCTTCTTGGCACTCTCTTCGCCACCAGCAGGGCGCTTGTGCTTGATACCATTCTCGTCACCGGGGACGGGACCGGACTCGCGTAGCGCGGCCATCAAAGCAGGCTTGGGGTTCTTGAAGGTCTGCACGGGCAACAAAACGCGTGATTGATCAGGACACCGGACTTCCTCTCGAAGGGGGTTTTCAACAAAAGACTTACGAGCACATGCTTAGATTCATAACGGGTCTGGGCGAAGTTCAGGTCATGTTGAATGGTGTACGACTTGTCAGCAGTGAGCTCGATAGACATATCGAATTCACCCCATCCTTCCTCCTGAATGCGGAACGGCGGCTGCTTGAAGACTATTCGAAGTGGAGAATTATCCCAAATTAGCCTCCAATCGGAAAACCATACACAGAGCAACGTGCGACCAAATCTTGTGGCCATGGGATCCTGGATCGCCAGATAACCCACGCGTCGCCAAGACCGAATCAAAATACCACTAGGGACCAAAACATACCCTGGGTGGCGCGTTCACCGAAACTGGGGTGCAGGTGGTAGGTGACCTTGTCGAAGAGGTTCGCGGGGACCAAGGCGCCCTTCTCGTTCACGAGCCAGACCTCAATATGCCAAGATCGCTGTGGAAAGCCCTCAACTTCCGATGGTTTATCTCTATAGTGTGGGATGAAAGCCCAAGTCAGCCAATGTGTCTAATCCAGCGTGTTTTGTGTATTGTAGGGATGGGTGTGGGTGTTTGAAGAGAAGAGTGGTGGTGTGCGAAGCGCGCCTGCCTTCATCCTTGGGCGCATTATCGTCCTCGTGTCCTGCGAGTCATAGGACCAAAGTGCCAATAGCGTTGAAAGGAGATTGTGGGAGGAGACGGTAGCTCCAGGCGCTCTTCTCAGACCAGGATTTGCGAAGGGAGGAAAGGTGAAGGTAGGTAGAGGGGGGCGCATACATAATGTTCTGCTCGGTGATGAGACGGACAGTGCGCTTGACCTATTGGGGAGGAGTGTTAGCATATGCAAGCTTAATTGTGCTGGAAACGGAGAAAAGAGCAGGTTTGGGCTTGTCGGCCACAGCAACAAACCCACAGTGCTAGATCATAGATGCAGCTTCGCGGTAGTTGACGAAGGGGTATTATACTCACGTCAGGCATGGTTATTTTATTGGCGACTTCGGGTCGTACTTGAGAGAATCGTGAGAGTCTAAGGTTTTGAGCCCGAAAGGGGACGTTGACGTGCGGAGAGGTGGGCGTCTCGGAGACAAGTTTGCGCGGTTGTCTGTCGGGGTGAGCAACATTGAATGAGCATGAGAAATCATAACTAGGCAATACCTCAATATAACCAGGCAGCGAGAACTGGTATATAGTGTTGGTCTCTTGATATATTGTAAACGCAATGAAGCGGTGAATTAAGCTGGAGGAGGTGTGGGAGTTCTGGGTTATCTCTAGGGCTGCCCACTATGCTTTAACTTGACCTCGACACTCTCTCACTTTCTATGTGATTTACCTCTCTTTTTATATATAATAAATAAGACTTGAGACCATTCGGATCAAATGGATATAGCTATAACAAATTTCTTGTACAGTCCTAGCATTGTTTCTATTCACCTATCTGCATTGTGCTTTTGAGAAGTGAAGGCAAAATCTAAGCTCAGGAGTTTTTTCTTCCAAGGTTCTTCTTATCGATCTTAAAAATGGACTATTTTGTATTATTTTTAGCATACACTTGCTTGTTAGGCATACTCATCATTACTTTTATTTATCTTTTCTTTTCTTCGGATATCTTCAAGGTATGGGGTGATGTGCAGGTATATTCGATGGGGATATGTCTATCTACTTCCGAAGAACCACCGAACGTTAGGGAACTGCCCTCCAATTCGTAGACTGCATGGCTTGCAATAGCTATGCGAGGAGCATCTTCATAACTGCTGCCTCGCTCGTCGCGTCGTAGGGGATGGGGTGGGAATGGGATGGATTGGGGGTGGTGATTGGTGGAACGATTTGAAAGGGGCGAAACTTGTTGTGATTTTTCAAAGATCAAGCTCCGGGACGATGGACCCAGATGCCTTGGAACGCCAAGTGCACGATAACTGGGCATCCTCAGTCCTCGAAGACTCAGTAAGACGAGAGAAGAAGAGTTGTTTACTCCTCAGCGTTGAAGAGCTTCTCGTTCTCCACCTGGGCGGTCTCGAAAGCATCCTTGAAGGCGTTGGCGTCTGCAACCATGGTTAGTGAAAGCTCGAAATCAGGTTGGCATAAAAACCACTCACTTTCGCTGTTGGCGAAACGGATGGCCAGGGTCTGAGCCTCGGGCTCACCCTCGGAGACATCGGCGGCGGCATTCCAGACCCAGCTGCGGTCACTGCCAACGTTGGCGCTGAGCTTCATGTCGGGGACGACTGCGAAAAAACATATTAGCACTAGATCTTCTTTGGAAATTATGACCGGGAAGCAATCTCACTGTAGTGGTTGGCGCAGACCTTGAGGGTCTTATCGCGGCGCATGACGAGGCGAGTCTTCTGGTTCTCCTTGTGCTTCAACAGGCGGACGTCACCAGTACCACGCTCCTTCCACTCCTTAGACTCGCGGTCGAACTTGAAGAGCTTGGCGCGCATCTTGAAGGTCTGCTCCTCAAGCTCCTCGTTGGTCTTGGTCTCAACCTTCTCGGTCAGGTGAATCACGGGCTCGAAGTGGACGTCGGCGGACTCCTCGACTTCATCCTGCATTGAAATACTATGGTCAGCATATGCGCGGAGCTAAAATAATCATTGGCACTGGCATAGTACGGCTTGGTTGCGATGACCCCACTATCTGGAGACAGGGGCACAAGACCCCGCTCCCATCGTAGACGCGACCAACAACAACCTCCTATGTCACCAGCATCAGATGTATCAAACTCACTTCATCATTGGCCTTCTGGGCCTTGGAAGAACCAGAGGGCTCATCAGTAGGCTCCTCGGCCTCCTCCTTCTTCTCCTTCTTGGGGCCGCCACCGAACATGGAGAACATGCTGTCAGAGGTCTTCACGGCGGCATCCTTGGCAGTGTCGGCAGCCTTCTCCGCGGTCTCAGCAACAGCCTCAGTGGTAGACTTCTCACCCTCGCCGGTGGCGGTGGTGGTCTCCTCAGGCTTGGTCTCGGAGGCAGAGATGGCGGGGTCGGGCTTAGTCTCGGTGAGGTCAGACATGATGACGAAGGGGTCAAGAGGATCGGTTTAAAAAGTTGAAAAAAAGGTGGCAGAGATCCACGGGAGATAGAGTGGAATTTCAGTAAGAAATAGTGTTTGTTGATCAGAGAAAGCGGCGATGAGGGGGGAAAAATTAATACTTAGTTTGGGTCCCATGCCCGGCAGAAACCCAACACCGCTCTCGTCTGCCAATAGTGTTCTCCATGTAAGTGTGAACTACATGCAACACACATATCAAAGAAAAAAGAAGTGAATATTCTATCTCAGTGGGTACGTTCGTGTAAGACCAAGTTTGGATTATGGTTTAAATAAGAGATACCATTGCGCCGACTGAATTGTTCGCGTGAAACCCATTTCCAGTACCATTGCCACCCACCACCAAACCAGATCGCCATAAACAAAAACCAGTCCTCAGCCAACTCATTAATAGGAAAAAAGGAGCAAAAACAAAGTCATAAAGTAAGTTCATTCATCGTTTCGACCCACTGGTTGAGCAATCCCCGGACTTGCCGGACCGGAATCCCATAACATGTCGAGCACGCGACTGAGCCCGGTCCAGCGCATTACATTTCCTAGCGTTGCGCACTCGATCCATCATACTTCGAAGGTCAAACCTCGTTGCTGACTTCACGATTCGGCTCCATGCATCATGAACAAGGCCCTTGGCTTCCTTGTTCACGCGACTAGGTCGCATTTGTAGCACAGAAGAAACACTTCGGAATCGCTGAATAGTATTGCGAGTGAGGACTTTTGAAATCTGCTTTGAACGTGATAGAACGATATCACGTGCATGCAGACTCTCGCGTCGTAGCTCCTCGGCATCCCGGCGCAAGAGATGGGTTCTCTTCACCACATCTCCCACGATCACCTGCAAGTCGGTAGAGAGGCGGCCGTATACCTCAGTCAGGCCGGTCTGAGCAGTATGGATCTCCTTGGCGAACTGTGAAGAAATTCCCTGAGCTGCACGCTTCCAGTTTGCGATCTTCAGCCACGGGGTTCCGAAGTCAACAGCCATAGTTTGGCTGATTGGGTGTTTTGACTTGGTTGTGATTGTCAAGTTGACTAACCCGTACGCATCCTCGCGGTTCAACTTCAGTGTGTAGACTCCATCAAAAAGCTGTGACAGCTCGTATGTAAGAGGCTTGTTCTCTCTGTGGACACTCACATTGAATTGCGGTTGCTTCTTGGATGATGCAAACTTATGTGGGGGTTTGATGATAACATGGCAGTCTCCAACAACCTGTATCTCGAATTCGTTCGTCATCCCTGATGATTTCGCAGTGGAAATACTTGGCACTGTGGCATCCTTGGGGATTGAATCTTCCGAAGAGGGCACATGCAAAACTCGCATAGAAGCTGACGGCTGAGTGGAGATTGAGGGTTGTACCGCTCGATCCAGGGTCAGAACGGAGGTGGGGGAGACATGGGAAGCCACTGGGAAGGACGCATTGGATAGCGCTGATCCGGCAAAGCATTGTGCTAGAAAGACGACCAGAACTCTAACAGCCGCATACCCAATAGAGATGGCAATGGCCGAAATGAGAGTCAAAGTAACCAGACGGAGTGTAGGGGCCAGCTCTCGTGCCCGCGTGGCATAGGAAGGTGGGAGCCAATTGCCAGGATACTTCTCGAGATCCGCAAATATGTGCCTCTGGAGAGGCTTGGGAGTATCGGCAGTGACTTTATGTGCCTTCCTTGGATACAGGCTGACAAGAGAAGCTAGGTTTCGATTCAACTGACCGGGTGTGATGCTCTCGAAAGTCTTCAAATCGATAGGATACCGTCGAAGGACTGCAGTCTCCCCGGAAACTGGATGGCGGGACTCCAAACATGTGTGTAGACTGTTGTGATTAAGAGGGATCACCTCTCCGGCCATCTTCCACAGCGGCTCTTCCGAAATCACCATCGCCGGGATTCCATGGCGTTCCAGGAACATGTGGGCAAGACGCTGTGTCTTGGCGACAGCTGCACCATCTAGGCCAGAGACAAAGAGAATTGCAACATCTGGTAGAGTCCAATCTGTTGCAGATGTTACATGATAGTCGGACCCATTCCACGCCGAAGTGCAGACAGGACGATTTTTAAACTTCAGGTTGAGTGTATTGGGCCGGTCCGCGTGGGGTTCGGCCGTGGCCTCCAGACACTCGTCGACCACCAACTGGACGTGAATAGGGAGAAGTTCCGCGAAGTTGGGAACAGCTCCGGCGCCAAATGAGGTTGGCACGACATGATATCGGGAAGATTCGGCCGAGCTGGTCTCTGAACCAGCACATGAGCTTGATACCAGAACATCGCCGATCTTGTCGAGAATAATGTTTCGGAATCCCGGTTGTCCGACATAGAGCACGCGGAAAGGCTTGTCCAGGTCAAGGCTCTGTTTCGTCATGGTCTGTTGAACCGTGGCCATGAGGATGGAGTCAGTTGATTTGTAGGGCAGTCGACTCTTCAATTCTGACGCTGCAGCACCTTCAAAGATGCGGATAGTATGCTTGAGCTCCACTCTCTCGATCTCGGGCCACTTCTCTGGCTCCACAAATTCGATCGAATCACTGGCGTGGGGGAAAGAGGGCTTCGTGGTTGTGGTGCTGTCATCGATCGTGGTTTGTCTGGCGGCAAAGAGGGCGGGCAGCTCCTGGGAGGCCGATTCAGTGCACTGCACTTCATCCCTGTCTATCCCATCATCCTCTTGGTTCTCTTCATCCTGTGCCTCGGCCTCGCTACCGCTGTAGCGTTCATCGAGGCTTGCAACGTCGTCAGGGCTGGCCTGGTCGATCAACGAGCCCGTATCGGTTTGTTCAGAGTGGCTGCCGTCCTCTGAGCGTATGTCAGACACGCTCAGAGTCGCCCAGCTATCACTCAAGGTTTTGGGTGAATGATCAGAAAGTTGATCTGACGTCATATTGGTAGGCCGTGAACGGGACAACCACTCCTCGACAGAAGCTGTCAGGGGTGGAAGAGTCGGATATTGCAGACTCGACGCAGTCTGGGGACGGAGGAACCGCCTAGGAGGCGAGTCTGGATCGTCAGTCATTTCGTCGATGTAAACTTCATAGAGCACACGGGTGCGGCGGAAACAGGAGCTCAGGGATAGCCCCAAGCGGTATGAAGGTCAAAAAAAGCAGAGTTAGAAACAGATATAGAGATATAGAGTAGGGAAATAGGAAAGAAAAGGGAGGTCGGAAGATACTGGATGGGAGTGCTAGGCAGAGATTCAGAAAGCCCAAATAGAGTGATAAGGTGGGTCTGCGGGGAGCCGGATGTCAGGATGGTCAGGTGCGTTTCTGACTTGGGGGAAGTAAGGACATACCTAAAGGCGTGAAAAGGTTGGAAGATCAAAGAGCAAAGAAACACAGTAATGAAGATGAAGGTGAGGCGTAAAAGAGAACTGAAACGTGGGAAGTTGATGAAGGGGATTTGCGATAAGCAATGGATGACCCAAAGTGACAACAATGGCGGGGTAGTACAAGGTACCTGGGTGTTGTATGGTGGTGCCTGCGGTGATGGCGGTACCAGATACCAGAACACCCTTGATACCTGCAAGTCCCTTCGTTTGGCCCCTCTCGACGCACTTCCACTCCAAACTCCAAATTAAAGAACGGGCCTCATAAACCTATCATATTTCATTATCTCTTGCAAAAGGGCTATTCTTATACTTATTCTATACTTGATAAGGTAGAGAGCTCCACTATGCCCCCACCATGATCGCCTTCAAAGCCGAACATTTACAACTAGAATATGACCGTTCCCGTTAACTTTGGAAGATCAATCTGCTTACTTACTCAGATTAGATACCTCTCGGCCTAATGGTGGTACTCTTCAAAACAGGCCACCACTTCTTCATCTTCCATTATGAGCAATCTTCCAGACGGCCACGTCGTCAACCACTTCTCCCGCTTTAAGCTACTACGCGCAGACGCCAAAAGACTTGTCGACTCCGTCAAGTCAGACACCAGGAAAGCCAGCAACCCGATGGCTTGTCATCGTAGGTCCGTCCCGATCAGCCATCCAAACCCTCGAAAATCACCGTTTTTGTCGATATGCCACGTCGGTTCTTTGACGTAAATCCGCAACAAGTGAGAGGAGTGCTTCGTGGCGGTCGTCTCGTAGGGTGACTACTCTCGTCGGCGGCGCGGCTCTAGCTCACTGCACGCCCCACTAATCGACAGCCCGCAACCGGAGTAGACAACAACAGCGAGATCACCACACTGAAAAGAGCCATGAACAAGCTGTAAGTTCTAAGAATTTTATCTACTACGCTGTTTAAATACCTAATAATTACGGCTAACACTTAGCAGTCTCTAACCGGAATCGTTGTGAAAGAGGTTGTTCACGACGATAATCTCGACGTTATAAGATCACGCCTCTTTACAGAAGAGCCCGTCGAGGTTGATCTGACGCAAAGATCTATCGGGAATGCAAAGGGCCTTGATATGCTAGAGCGGTTTGGTCGCCCTGGAGGCGAAAGTCGGAGAACTCGAGACATGTCGCCGACGCGATGAAAGCCAGCTGACGCCGATTCGTTCATCCGCCCTTAAGGACTGGGCTGGCCTTGATAACAATAAAGAGCGACGTAATTCGGCAGTACCTCCCCTACCATCGCTTCCCCTGCAGAAGAACTTCACGTCCACATAGATCCATTGACAATATCACAATCAAAGTGTCTTCTCACAACGTCTTTTAAATCTCCTTTTGACCTTTTCTCTGGCCAGTAAGTTTGGACTCCTTTCATGGAATCTTCTTGGGTGCCTTCCTTGATATCCTTTTTCGACTCTTTTCGCCTCTCTCTTTAACCTCTTGGCAACATGTTTCCTAGCGTCAATCCTAGTCCGTGAACTCCTCCTACTCGTCTCAGATAAAGGCCGTTCTTTTATAACGGCCACGGGCCATGACCTCCTATAGCTCATTTGTCGGAGTTCTCTTGGTTGTAAAGGCCATCAACTCACTATTCTAGTGGGCCGAGCGGGATATCACCCAGTATGTCAATGGCTCTGTAACCTTGATCCCCTTTCTTATTATCTCTTTCTGACTAGTTTTCTAGCGCCTATACTACCAGTCTCCCCGCACTCTAAAGAGGAGACCGTCCTAGGGGAACTCTTCCGGCTGGCCTATAAAAAGGGCCACAATGTCTTAACCCCCGTGGCCCTGAACGTTCTGTGGTTGGCGGTGGTCTTCCTGACGGTCCTTGAGACCGTCGAGCTAATTTTCTGGGTCGTCAGGCGCGAGATCGAGCGGTATGTCACTGATCCTCGTTTGCTGTAGAGGATCTTAGGCAATAATAGGCTGACCTGCGATGTAGCGCCGCCCAATCGAGAAGAAGAATGAAAATCAAGCAAACTCCGAGCGTTGAGCCGGGGTTGGAGGAGGTTTATTTTTATATTATGGTGGTGATATCCTTACGGACATCATAACCATCACAGCTTTCGCTAACCAAGCTCCGCACCAAACGGCTTGATGGGAAGCTGCGTTTTGCCAACACTACAGCATCAGTTATACAAAATGTCATGACGACCTTGCCGATCTACAGGACACCACCCCAGATATAAATTGCTTTCCTGAATTCTCGTGCCGAGATCTCTACCCCACTTCGTATCTGGGGCCGTGTTTCTGCTCCTTAGTCCTCGACTCATACATATCATATATAGGTGTAGGTAGTATATAAGAATAGTTAGCCGCTTATATAGCCTTATTATGCCTGTTTTAGTAGTCTTTTTGGTAGTCTCCCTAGATGGCTCTTATATCTATAGATTTTCTTCCCTTTATTAGTGCTATGGCTAGAAGGATCTGCATATGTTACATACTTTGATATGCAAGTCACATGGCGGTCAGGACTAGTAGTTTCATATTAAAATAAAGCAATTTTATGAACCCGAATGTCCATATGGGAATAATTAAACTCATGCCCGGGTACGTTACTACTTTATGCTAGGAAGACCGGTTGCCGTGGTGGTCCCTAATAGCCCTCGTACCCCTGCGTCCCTGAATCCAATCTTGGAATTGCTTCCAGGTCATTTAAGACGTTTGATTCCGTCTTTCCCACTTCCGTCACAAAGCGGTCAAAAAATTGAAGTATTTGCTGCTTGACAATATGGCTCAGCTTCGGGAGGCTGCATCTTCTCACAATAACGAGAGGCTTGGTGCTCTCCTTAACGAATTATATGTACAAAGTAATAGTGAGAATTTCAACACAGGTACTTTACTTATTGAGGCCATAGATAGGTAACAATGATGCCTTTGTAGTTGAATGTCTTCTCAATCATCAAGTTCCTATAAGCCTGCTGCTTTTCAAGAAGCCGGCTAATTCGGCATACGAGATACTACAGGCATTCCTTGACCATAGATGGGGATGGGAGTATACTTGGAATTTATAATCTGGGATGACGCCCATCCCACCAACCAGAGGCCAGAACGGGACTCCACTTGGACAGCAATGGGCTGCCGAATGTTAATTTCCAAACGAACTCACAGCTGCAATGGGATGCCGATAGGATGGCGACAGGATATCGTACCTGAAGAATGCAAGGCACCTGCGAGCATCCCACTAGTATTACCGCCACCCCAGGGTTGGAAATAATCCTTCAAGCCGCAAACATGAGTGGCTCTAGTTTAGATGTCTACTTATGTTGAGAATTGGCGAAATACGCCATTGAGGAAATTTAAACCTATTTGATATTCCACCCTTTCTATTTCTGGCGGGAAATATATATCTACTGTCATTGAAGACCGTTACGTTTAAGTGAAAGAAGTACGTACATACACGGCGCCTTTGCAATTGAAATATCCTTATATCCACTGAAACTGTTGATCATGAGGCTGTAACACTCGCGCAGTCTGAGAAATCCAATTGTCTTCAATATTATCATTGGTGTATGCGGCTTCGTTTCCTGCGATTTTCGCGGCCAAGTCTGAAGTAGCATGCCAGAGCTCATCGCTGTCCGGCACCGCAAATTGCAGGTCTGTCAGAGAAAGGAGACTTCCAGCTGGTGATCGTGGTCCACGTTGAGGGCTGAAATTGGGCGCATCTTCTAAGAGCTTAGTATCACATACCCGGGCATGTCTGCATACCCTGTACAAAGACAAGTTAAAACGCTTGACTTCCTCGATACCGAGCCAGATAAAAACATCGGGGTCAACTCCTTGTTTGAATTGGGCCAGTATTGAGGGATAGAAGAACATGTGTCGCTTCAAACAGCTGTGGACGAGGGAAACGAGAAGCTGAGAGGGGATCTCGGGGAGAACTTGAGTCAATTGTAGATCTGACCGGTCGTGGTTGTGGAGGAGGGAGAAGATGAGGTGTAATAGGATTCCTTGGTATGTCGCTATCGGCCAGGGTGTGGAACCAGAGGATATTCCATGATGTTGCGAGTGTGGTTCGTCATAGTGATTCGATATGTCCCATTTCCCCTAGCTGGCCGGTTAATAACAAGAAGGAAAATGTAGAGAGATAGAAGAAAGGGTTGAACGAACTCTTTGCTCGTATATCGACGAGCTCAGTCGCTTATGTAGGTCTTTTGCGGTCCGTTGCGTATTGCTTTCCATCATCGCCCACGAGCCCATCATAACCACTGATTGAGCAAGAAAAGGCGGCTCATTATCGGGATCGAATGTCGCTGGGTGCAAGAATGGCCATTTCGGGTGAAACTTATCGAAATAAGCCTGGACATATGGCGCAATTCGACACGGGCTATTCTCAATACTTTCTGAACGCTGGATAGGGCCTGCTGGTTCCGTCGGAGGAGAACTAAACGAATATGCATAGTCCGGTCCTACGGAAGATGTAGGACTTGTGCCGGGGTTTCGAGACCTGCTTTGTTCCAATGCCCGACCTCGTGAGTTCTGAGTATAAGAACATTGAATTCCTCGCTGGAAGCACGCGTCGCAGGGAGACTGTCCGTCGCACTTTGATCGTCGTGAGCGACAATAGGTACAAGCTTGAACCGCCCGGGAGTATTGTAGCTCTTTGGTTTTATGACGAGTGCGGACATGCTGCCGCAGCGTGTCATTCCTGGCGAAAACTCGATCACAGAAGGAGCATTCGAAATACTCTGTTTGAAAGTGGCTTTTAGCATGTCGGGTCAGATGTTCCTTCCGTCGATAGCTTAGGCCACACCCGGGAAAGTGACATTGAAAAGGGGATTGCTGTGTTGTCATCGGAATCATGACGGATGGAGCGAGGAACAGAATGGACCAGAGGCCGTTTAAGCCCAAATGTCCGAAGATCCACGATAGAGTGCCCCCAAATGCGATCATAAGCAGCTACACACACTGCAGGTGGCGACACTGGGGTGAGATCCTGATTGTGAAGGCTTGGGATAGCGATGGGATAGCGATGGGATAACGTCAGATCCGTCTGCCCAGCCCTGGAGGTGGGGCGATGGTGGAGCACCTGAGCATGAGTCAGGAGTTCCGAGTATGGATGGAATGACAGAGCCTTTCCCAGAAGGCTTGGCAGCAGGTATATATAGATCAGGCATTCAAGGAAGATTGAGAGATTGGCTGGACCGGTCAAAGAAATATAGGTACGGAGTAGAGACCTTTGCACTTCGCATTTCTGTGGTCCCGAGTGCAATAGGTGTCGACGAAAAGAGAGCAAGAAGGCGCAGTCAAAGCGATCTGTATTGCTAGCTAACGAGAGAACCGAGGGGAGAAAGAGAGAGAGCTCTATCTACCCCACAAACAAACATACAAGCATGACTCGCCTGAACAATCAAGCAGCCACACAGGTCACATGACCCAGGGTCCAACAGTAGGGCCTGAAATATATACCGCAGCGACAATCGGACATTCAGATTGTTGTTATGATCTTTGGCCTAGCGGTTAAATGCTTTTATATAATGACATAGGGTACCTGGTAGCGGCCTAATTTAGCGTGAGAATTACAACAGGGACGGCAAGTTCAACCTATGACCTACGATAGTGAGAGCATAAGCTTACGATGTAGCACGAGTAGAATCCTACGCATATTCAACTTTCCCGGGTAAAACACATTAGTACTTATCATCGCTGTTAAGGAAGCATAAAGGGTAGAATAACGCGTTGATGCTCAAGTACCGAAAGAAGGAACAGGTCTATCCTTCAATAGTACTTTTAAGGACTTAAATACTAAAGAACGTAGACAAAGAAAGGTACATAAAATAAATGAACAGAGAGGACAGAGTCTTGCCGGTTACATAGTAGGGAAAATAATCCATCTCTCGTCTTTCTGCATTAACAATGCTAATGAAGTTGGAGTCTCGACCACCTCAGGTTGGCGGAATCCCCACAGGATTGGTCGCAGGACAGGTGGTAAGGTGACAACAAAGGCTTCCGTAACAGCTGCTTAGCAGCAAGGCTCGCAGTGCGCCAAGCTACAATAACTTTTGGTTAGAGGTAATTTACTTATCACAATGGAAGGGTTAGGTTAAGACGAACCAAACAGCACAAGAGACGCCAATACCGCCTCCAGTGTCGCAGTGAACGCAGTACTGGTCCCTATTATGGCACTCGTCACAGCTCTTGTAACCGCAGCCTCGCGCTTCGAGGCCGGAATCTCGCTGGCCCACAGCGACGGCGTGGGCTATAGAGGCAGTCGAGAAGACGACAGCGAGGATCTTGAAGAATCGCATTGTGGGAATTGTAATAGAAAGGTAAGTGCAAATATAGAGAGGAAGAAGTCGGTATAGGGAGGGGTTCTTATTAAAAGACAGAGGACTTTTCTCTGTTTATATATGCCTTGGTAGACCAATTGCAAGAGAACGTGACGTGAGCACTAAAACTACCTAGGTAGTAAACAAATAGGACATGAAGGCTATGCTGTTAGTGCTGACGAGCTGCGTGTAGATCCTGAGGTCTTACTAGGATGTAAAGGCTGGTCACAGAAGGTGCTATTTATGTTCGCCTATATCCACTAGAGCCTCGAGTTATGCCGCGTTCTGCCCAAGATATAGTCACCTGCCACAGGCTAGCTCTGGATATTTTAGTAGAGCTATATTGCTATTATATGGTATCTTGCCTGATCAGCTTTGATTGAGATTTTTTGATATGTACGGCCCCAGTGCCAAGTGATTTACATTCAGGCCTCCAATGCTAAGCGATGTACATTTGGGGCCCTCATTTGAAAAAGACATTTCTCAATTTACAAACCGTTTAATTAACCAACGAACTAAAAGCAATTAGCCCTTTAAGAGTCAATACGAAGTGGAGTCAGGATACTTCACAAATGACTAGAGTGCTCCAACGGTTTGGATACCGTGCTCTTGAAATAAGCTTGTAAAGAAGACGAAAAGAGAAGAAAAACTTCATGGGAAAATTCATCATCTATCATCCAGGCTGTTTCATAAATTTCGTCACCCAGACCCAACTCTCTAACCTGAACATGTGTTTCAGCGGCCACCATTCCAGGGGCCGTCATCAACAAGACACCCGTACAGTTCGGCGGAGAGATAAAACGTATTGGAACGCTTGCCGTCCGACTTCTCCTTCATACTCACCCAGCTATGGATGCCACGACCAGCCCCCAACGGCCGACGCTGCACGGAGCTGATGGCATTCCTATACCTCTCTCGGTAGAGCTGAGGCGCAGAAATGGCATCCATGTACGTTTCGATGCGTTCCCGCGCTTCGACATCATCTGCTGCGTAGCTGTCCATTGGGTAGAGGACTGTACGGGCCGCTGGACGAGACGGATCTTTGTTCTTGAAATGGAAACAGGATAAACCGGGTTTTCCACGGTATGGCCCAAGCGAGCCACCAGCCATAATCGAGTAGAACATCTCAATCGCATGGACGCTGGACTTGGGATCCATCTTAACATGCTTTTGCGCGATTTGCGTTGCAGACGCACCGCGGTGTGCAACGTATACCTTGACTTCGGCGTCTTCTGGGTCCGGCGACAGACCAAGCGAGAAGTAGATAGGATAGTCGTCGCCAGTCATGATGCTGTCCAATAGTTCCCACGAACTGGCCAGACCCAGGCGCTCTAGGGCCTCTCGGGTCACTTTGGAGGCGTTTTGGCTACCAGAGGCTAGTGGATTCAAATAAATCTTCCACTTTTCCAGTGTATTTGAGGTAGCGAAGCTGTGCCATGAGGCTAGCTTACCCTCAGCATTTGGGGGGAGAAATAAATCTCGAACGAGGTTCAAGCGGTCTAGGGAGACCCTTGTGGGGCCGTACTCTGTTGCTATGTCGTCGGTCAAGCGCGAGGTCCTTTCTTGGAGGGCAGCTAAGCTGTTTTCTTCGGGCTGAGCCTCGATCAAGAATCGCAGCTCAGATGCTCCAGTCTGTTGCGATAGAGCCAATGAGTACTCAAAAGGCGAGTGATCATTGCTCACGTCGGAGACCCAGGCTGATATATCCAGCTTCTGTGGTATGGCATTTTGACACCATTCTCCCCCGGAGAAGTTAAAGGCATGCAACAGCTTCTCTCGCGTGACCTCATCTTGTCCAATGGCTTTAGAAAGACGTGCAAGTTGCCGATTGGCCTCACTGATATAGTTATCGTTGATCACCTGGTTTATAAGAACTGGAGCAGGCGCCGCCAGCATGGTAGGCTTGACTGCAGTTGTGGTGTGTTGATATTGGTGGGTGAATTGGTGACTTTGCGAGCACGATAAGGCGCCAGGTTTCTGGTCTAGGAGAGCCATAGCTGGCGTAAAGCCGGGACTGTCAATGTTGTTTTCAACTCTAGGATGGGCGCTCTATATGCGACGTGAGTATGCGGCCGAAAATGGGCTCATATAGGATTGGGCTACTACTCGCAAATCATTCCTCCGTCCGAAATACGGTGTAGACTAATGTGGTTTTGAGGCTACTGTGACTATCAGAAATACTTTATGGTCGTCTTTATGCTCTGACAGAGAACTTCTTAGTACATAGAGTTTGAGACAGTGAGATGAGCGCTTACTAGGTGCATAAGAAAGCCGCCGTTGGCATACAGATTTAGACAAGCATAGAACATACTACATATAATATTTTCTGCATAGTCAGATATTCTTTACCAGTCCTAATAAGCGACACCTTTCTCTGTCGGACCACCTAGAGGGCAAAAGAGGCAGTCCGTTGCAGGGAATAATATGAACACCATTAACAGAACGAGATGAAAACGTGTATAAATTGTATGTGAGTAAGTTTCCAAGATAATCAGATTGTGTCTGACCGTGCATTGCTTATGTGCCTGATGTTCCGCCCCTAAGCTAAGCACTAGTACATACCTAGGTAGGCCCTTCGCATTAGGAATATGGCCCCCATTCCAAACCACATGCAGCAGGCCAGATTGGCATATTGCTCTACCATTCCTAATCATATGATTCTAAAATCTATGTTATGTTGACGGGGTTATTTATAAAGGATTGTAGTAATAATATCCCTCGTCTAGGTTAAGATGAATCGATATCTCAATACGACATATGTAGGATATAGTGCGCAATACGGACGGAGCAAATACGGAGTAGTTACGTGTTATCTGCAGGTGTATGGAGTATATGCACGTTATATATTAAACTACGGCATGGTACTCCGCAGCGCTTACATGGCTGTTCACATGTGCGTAGTTAATATACAAGACCACATGTAATAAATGACGAGTCCTTACTAAAACTTGCCTAGCTTTGCCCAAGTGAGCCAGGGTATAGATAATAGTAAAAAGAAAAGAAAAATGACGCTTTTAGTAGGTACGTAGGTACCAATCTTGTAACTTTACCTAGATAAACCTATAACGATACTGCGAACTATACCCTGCAGCCGGCACTAATTAATCCGTCGGTTTCTTTGTTCTATTCCTACAAGAGACTATCCCCTGAATCTCCCAACAAACAACCATTCATGCTTTTATGTTCGAACTCGGAGCTCAAGTTATACAATGGAAGGAATGAATCCCATTGCAGCCATTGTACAACCATCCGCCTTGAAGCCTCCAGTCTTCGTGGGATTGGCAAGCGCTCTATGTGCACTTAGTGGCAGCATCATTGCACTACGGCTTTGGACTAATTTCAACCACATTCAAAAGCTTCACGTTGACGATTGTACGTATAAGCTTTCTGCTTTCAGTGGGGCTGTTAATGACTAGCCAAGCTTACCTCGGCAGACTTATGTGTGCTGGCACTCCTGTTCCTGATATGGAACTCTGTCACTTTCTCCATGCTGTTTGATGGTAATATTTTCACCAATCTGAGATGTGAGCTCGCAAAAGAAGGACTAACCAAGTTCAAAACAGTGTTGAACTCCAACCCTAACGATGTAACCATCGAACATCTTACAAGGGTATGGCTGTGATAGCTTTCTATACACTTTATCCCCTTGTACCAGGCTGTCAGCTAATACTTTGTCGCAGCTGGTTGCGGTCGGAATCGCGTCAGGCAACAGTGCAATTTACAGCGCGAAGTTGCCTCTGCTTTTCATGCTTATCCGAATCTTTGGAATCAAGGATTGGTTGCGCTGGACGTGTATATTTCTCGTTGTCGTCGGAACTTTGGGCGGCGTGATAACGCTGTTGTATGCCGGTATCTCCTGCAGTCCAGATCTTCACGAGCCAACGCCACCATTCTTGTTCTCATGTGTCAGCGCCCTCACGAATGCGACCATTGCCCGTGGCTCCATATCGCTCGCCGTCGATGTCATCGCATTCGTTCTCCCGATTCCAATTATCGTGGTTCTTAAGATGCCACTTCGTAGGAAGATTGGAGTGGCCTTTGTCTTTGCTACGGGTCTTCTGTAAGTTCGGGTCTTTCTCTGTTGACTTGGACAAATTTGCTGACTATAATCTTCAATAGTGCCATTGCAGCCAGCGCATTGGGTTTGTACTTTCAGAAGGCGCAGTCCGTGAAATCTTCTACCAACTTTGCCAATGCTTTGCTTGTCACGTAAGTTTGTCGATATCAACCTCACCACTCCTGCCCCCTGCGAAACTGTCACTGAAAGCCCACTAGTGTCATCGAAAGCGCCGTCGTCCTCATGGTCAGCTGCACACCTGCTATTCATGTATTCTGGACCAAGTATGCAGGCTTCCTGCGCAGCCGCTTTGGACTGCTAACCTCATCACACACCAAGTCGAAGCTTTCTGAATCCAAAACCAACCTGGGAGGAACCACTACGCCAAACTCAGATCGCACCCAGGTCCGCACACATGATTACGTTGAACTACAGGAAGTCGCAGATATGGGGAAGTCACCATACGATCCTAGGGTGTTGACTGTTAAGCAATACGTGTAAGATATCACATGCACATTTTGAAACGCCTAGTATATTTGACTTTTGTTGGATCGTCTTGCTCCAAGGGCGCTGGCTGTCTTACCCCTCTTCAATACAGAAACGACACGATATATAGCGCACATGTCAAGTACTGTAGAAGCCTAGGAAGGTCGGATACGACAATCAACGTTTAGCTATGATCCTCCACATCTAAAGATCGACGACGCACGACCCGCTTTTCTTACCCGCTGTTTCAACGCCCTCGGATCCTTTAGGGTCTTGAAGGGTTAAGGAATGATTACCGCTACACCCAATAATGAGGTTTCTTTTACATATAGCATTGGACGACGAATGAAAAAAGAACCTGGGCATCTATATTAACAGGGCGATGTACAATGCAATTTCTGTTATAGGAAAGTCCTCGGCTACAACAACTAACTAGTCGCTGACGTTACATGTACTTCGTACGTAGTCTCGAGTGAGTACACTTTCCAATTAAAATCAAACCTTAATCAATGTGTTATTTCATCATATCTGCGGTAAAGCTTGGTATGCCACGGAGAACTATTTAAGACATTTGTTTATGACACGGATGATGATAGAGGGGTATCGAAATTAGGAAAATCCCATGTGGGCAACATTTGAGTCCCCATTGAGTACTCCGCCAGGAAACAGAGGGCACTAGCCATAGTTCAGCCAAAATGAATACTTTTTCATATATTGTAATTAGTTAATATATCTACATCCTTGTAGTCCGCCAACACTGCCCCGGATACGGAAGGTGGCGGGAAGTACCGTGGTTATCTGGGAAATCTATGAACCTTAAGGAACATCCCGCTTGGCAGATATTCTTTACACGGACATCCTCATCCAATGAATACTCTGATAACCCTGGGCTATTTGTCTGTAACGATACTTGGTCAAACCAGATTCTTTGTTGTACGGAGATGAAAGGAGCATGTGGCGTCTTGCACTGAGCCCCTGCACGTCCAAGTTCCAACACCCAAGCAATCGCCAATTCCCCTACAATGGGATATACAATATCGACTAGTTACTTGTCAAGTTCTAGTAAGCTCACCAAAGAGGGACTGGAGCATGTGATTGCCTGACTGCCTGATTGCCTTTCGTTTCTCTTCCCCAAGTTAAACCTACTTTCATCGCTGACACTCTAGGTCTGGTTGTTTATTCTCCCAATTTCAACCATGCATCTAGCAACATTTATAGCCATTTCCGGGTTACTGATAGGTGTGTACATTATCAAGCGACGCAAATCAACGTCGTCATTGCCTCTACCCCCAGGTCCCAAGCCACTGCCGATAATTGGCAATGTCCACCAAGCTCCCAAGTCCCACGGCTGGCAAACATATCGCGATTGGAGCAAACAGTATGGTCCGATTGTCCATGTCAACATGCTTGGACAACCCGTCATCATTTTGTCTACGTCTGAAGTAGCCCACGAACTCCTAGCGAAGCGTGGAGCTACATTTTCAGACCGACCTCGTCTTTTTGCAAGGCTCTACTCTCCTCGACTTGCATGTGCAACAATGAGCTAATAGAAACTGCAGTTGGCAACGGAGTTGGCCTTGAAAGGACTCAACATCCTCATGATGAATTACACCGATCAATTCCGACAGCATCAGAGGCTACAGGTCTCCGTGTTAAACGCGACGCCGGCAGCCGCCTATCTCCCGTTCCAGGCTCTAGAATCACAACAATTGATACACGATCTCCTAAAGAATGCGGGTGGCGCTGGTGCTGAGGTTCAAGGACATTTCCAGCGTGCCGTTGCTAGTATCATCCACACGTTGCTGTATGGCTTCCGTGTCAAAGACTACAACGACTCGGTACTTCGCACTGTTGTGAAACTCAACGAGGAATTCTCCGAGTTTATCCAGGTTGGCGCGCACATTGTTGACCAGTTCCCTGTTCTTAATAATCTCCCCGGCTTCTTGGCCCCATGGCAGGCAAAGGCTGAGAATCACTACAAAACCAAGTATGATCTACGCTATGAAAACTTCCGGCGGGGCCAGGAGTCGGACGCCTGGAATATATCAAAACATCTCAAGAAGACTGTTGAAAAAGATGGCCTTGATATGCCCTTGAACGAGCTAGCGTTTGAGCTTGGTACCATGATCGACGCGGCGCTGGACGGCACTACAGACAGCTTGATCTGGTTTGTGGTGGCTTGGATTACGCAAGACCAGTGCTTCGTCTCCAAAGCACGCAAGGAGCTGGATGCCGTTGTCGGACACGACCGACTCCCAGTCCCAGATGACAAGCCCAACCTGCCGTACATCACCGCGATTGTCGAAGAGATATTCCGTTGGAGACCGGCTGGTCCCGAGGGCGTCCCTCACTTGAACAAGGAGGAGACTACCTACAATGGATACACTATTCCTAAGGAATCTGTTATTATACCCAACGTTTGGACAATCTCCCGAGAAGAGGCCTTGTTTGGCCCGGACCCCGACGATTTCAAACCGGGCCGCTGGCTCGATGAGGACGGCAAAACGCTCAAAGACCTCCCCCCTGCTGCCTTTGGCTATGGAAGACGGACCTGTCCTGGGCGGTATTTTGCCCGCAATGTTATCTGGATTGTCGTAGCCCAGCTGCTATGGTCATTCGACATCAAGGCCGGCCTGTCTGAAGAGACGGGCGAACCCATCCCCATTGACCCGCTTGCATGCACCTACGGCCTGGTTATGCGGGCCCTGCCTTTCAAGGCTTCATTTAACCCTCGTGGGCCTTGGGTGCGTGAAGTGATCGCCAGAAACGGTGACACTTATAGCAAGGATCATGTCGCTATGCTCAACCAAATTGGGACAGAGTTCGCTAAGCTGTAGCGAGCCGTCTTCCCTTTCCTTCTCTCTCATTACACACATATATAATTAGCTACAAAGGGACAAACTATGTGCAGAGGGTTTTGTGGCGGTGTGGATGGCGAATTACATGTATAAAAAACATCTTGACGGATGGTGCCAATATTCCACCTTAAAACTTTGTATTACATGATAACCTTGCAAGATAACTAGAATAAAATCTTTTCAGTAACGGAAGTGCCTTGTCCCGCGGAATAATATCGGCGTAATGCGTGGTGATCTCAAGTTACATACGGAGTACGGAGTACATAGACTGAGAATAACGGGTTATTTCTCTGTGGATTTTACCCGAGCTCAGCGCTATAATCCTAGCTCAGCGCTAGACGAAGTTTAATATAGTGCTTCGTACTCCTGCTCCCTACTCCGTATTCCGTATGTAGTTTTATATTATGCACATGTGAAGAACCATGTAAGCGCTACTGCATGGGCCACATTCCTGATCAGAAAGTTCGTCATGCTAACTCATATCGCTTCCTTCCTCACATCCCCAGAAAACCTATTGGCTGTTGGCCACTAGCGGCGCTACGTGGCCCCATCCCCAGGCGCGAAGGAATATCTTGATGCCCAAGAATGTGCTTGATTTCGGCTTGGCTGACGAAGTATGAATCATGTCAAGATTAATTGTAAACTTGATGATATTCCCATATCGCACAACTCATGATGTTTTCCGTCAGTGCAGTACCCACGATACTATACGGCAATTCTAGTACAATATTCAAGGAACCTCAAGATGATCCCTCGTCTTACAGAGTTAACTTGGCTCTGGGGATTATCTTCCTCTTAATTTCCCTACGATTAGCGACATCGAAGGCATGTACGCACTATTGCAATAATCTATGAAGATTCGTGTGCTCATGTTTCATAGACACGCTCTACCTCACCACCCTGCGAGAAAATAATTGAAGAGGCAGAGCGGACAAATCGTCGCAATGGACACGAAAATTTCGGCTTCCTGTCTAAAGAGGCAGGATTTTCGCCTCTACAAACAATAAAGGCCCTCCCGCCTTCCCATGCAGTATGGGACCGACTTGCTGCCGACTTACCTCGCCTAGTCCAGACCCAGACTGTCCGAGAGACTGTCACCAACATGCCACTGCTTGACGCATCCGCTGAAGCTTTGCCCGACATTTACCTCCAACGGGCCGCCACCATCCTAGGTATGACCGCCCATGTGTTTGTTCGCATGGAAGGAAGCGAGCCTCTCACATTGAAATATGACAGTCATGGTGATATACTGCCACCATCGCTGGAGAGCCCGTGGACAGTAGTGTGCAGACGCCTTGGGCGACCAGCCACCGCTCTCACCTACGTGGATGGGGTGGTATGCAATTTCATATCAACCAGCTTGTCACGCAGTGGGGTGACGCTCGAGAACTTGGAGTTGCTTGTTCCAACTGTGGGCACGAAAGAAGAGCACAGGTTCGTCGGCATAATGATTGAAATCAACGCCAAGACGATACCAATTCTCCATCATATCATAGAGGCGCAAAGATCCATCTTAGCGAAAGACTCTTCCTCGCTCAAAGACGCAATACGAAGTCTCCATGCACTCTTAAAACAAGTAACCGAGATCCTCAATAAGCTCCATGCAAGCCGAGCACACAACACCCATATCGATCCCGTCTTATGGACCCTCACCGTAGGGAATTTGGGGATCCCTTGGGTGAAAGGCATGGTTGGAGCGGCAGGAACAGCGCATCCATTGTTTCACATGATGGATGAGTTTGCCGGACGATTTGAATATAACACTGGTATCGGCCAAGAAGCGCAAATTGTTCGAGCTGCATATCCTATCCATTGGCGCCAGTTTCTCGAGGCCATGACGGAAGTGTCTGCCACGGAATACATTGCTGCCTCAAAGGATAGAGAATTAATGGATCTCTGGCGAACCTTTATATCCTCATATCACGGCAACGACGGTTTACTGGGATTCCACCGGCGAAAAGTATTCGGCTTCCTTGCTGTCTCATTCAGGATTGGTCGAAGTACAACTATCAACGGTCTAGGTCGCGAGCGCAGGACCGAGCCCTGGCACGAGGTTGATCAAGAATTGGAAAAGGCACGTCTCGAACGCAGATGTCTCGACCTAGATGATCATACTCCGGATACCGAACCCAGCTCGAACAAAGTCTTTGTCTCGCAGCTCATAAAACATAACTCGGAAGAAACTGGTTATTGGTTCTCGGCCGAGGGGGGTGTATACGACGCAAGCGCATTTATGCAAAGGCATCCAGGAGGGGATACTGTGATTGCGTTGTGCAGCGGGCAAGACGTTACCGACAGCTTGACGGCAGTCGGTCATTTGACGAACTCTTTGATCAGAAATAAACTGGAAAGCTATCGGATAGGGACGCTGGAAAAGCCTAAATTTGCCTCTTCGCATGCAGAAGAGCTTTACATGGCTGCCGTTGATCTAGGTCAAAAGGCAGCCGAAATGGAAAACGTGCACCGGCGAAATTTCCAGTTGTTGAATGGGAAACTTACCATGCTGGACGAACCAGAGACTCTCACGCCTAAGAAGGAACGACATCTGATTGATTCAAAAAAAAGGCTTCAGGATGAGCATGTGCCGGTATTGGCGATGCTTTTAGATGCCCTACTCGATAGTATCGGGAAGTTGGATATGGAGTTTGATCTGAGTGCCACTCGTGCGCAAATGGCCGTCCTCGTTACGCCAGGAACAGGACTGGGCACTGTAACCCGTTTCTTGGACTATGAAACGGCGCTAGACGGCCTGAAGAAAGACTCGAGTCGGTTGACTGAAGTGAAAGAACTTGTTGCGATGGTGCTTGGAACCTTTGAAGACCCTGGATTCACATATTCTGAGCAAAGTCAGCTTGAATCCATTGTGGACACATTAAGTAGAGTAGCGAGTCCATTGGTAGTCCTTGCTGGAAAATGAATTCTTGTCTATCTTTGCAGGATCTTTATAGAAATTAGACATAACTTGGTGGGTTACACTTCCTTACTCCCGAGCGCGCCGACAGCCTATGTAGATTGGCAATGCAGGTGTGACCGCCCTCTTAATAAGAAGACTCGAGATACTACCTAGGTACGAGCTGGAACAGAGAAAGAAGGACCCAAGGGACTCCTGTGTACTCTCAACAGAAATCTTTAGCGCAAGATCCTATATGCTCCTTGAGGTAATGATACGTTTAGTTCGGTTAATCCAAGCTGCGAGTGGCACAGCTAGAGATCACGTCTCTGTTTTTAATATCCAAGCCGTAGTAGAATCCGAAGAAATAAAGTGCATTATACTGATATCATTCTTCACGTGATTGACCTGGTGATTATCCCATACTCTATAGACAACCATGCTCGATCTGGTATTTGCGAGGGTCAAGGGTGGGCAATGCGAGAAAACAACCCGTGGATGTATGCCACGGATTCAAAGATGGGGGGAGAGGAAAGGTATGTACATTTCATGAATGCATGCTGGAAGACAACCACAAACTGCGCACACTGGGATGGGAAGGGGGCAAAAGCAGGGGGAATTGGCCGATTGTAAGGCCAAAAAAAAAGAGGCGAAGAGACGTCAAAGTACACGGCGGGAGTTGCTTTGGGCGTTGCTCCCAGCCCCCGAATCAATGGTCTCCTACCGCCGAGATGAAGCTGTGCTCCTGGCAGAACAGAGGATATAGCGATGGAATCTGGAAAGACATTGGATATAAGGTCGAGACCATTCGAGACGGCCCCTGAATCCCACAAGGTACGGTACCAATGTTCCACTGCCGACGATGCACATGTTTTCTTCCAAATGCAACCAAGAGACGGATCACAACAGCCAGACTCAGTGGCACAGCGTGCTTGATGAATGTGTCAACAGTCATGATGGAAAGGGTGACACCATCTTCCGATTAAAAAGAGTGCAGATCCGTTGAACGCCGCCCAGAAAGAAAACCCCACGACCAACATAACATGCAGGCTCCAGCTGGAAACTCCCAAGGGCGGACCCGAGAGATGCACACAGCCGAATAAATAGACAGGGGGGAACGAGGCGCAGGAAGATGTGGCGAGCACTGAGCACTACAGCGCCAGCGTCAAGATCTATGGCGAGGCCCAGCCACCAGCCACATCCACCCATTCGTTGAGACAGCTGCCTTGCTTGCCCTCAACATCGACAATGTCAGTGTCGCAGCGGCATCGGCAACCGACACCGTTCTCCTTGACTTGGTCAGGGTTCGCCCAGTACTCGTCTTCCTCGATCCGTTTCTTCTCGTCATCGGTAGTCATCTCGAGGTAAGGGATACGGGCGAGTTGGCGTGCCGGAGCGTTGGCAGGACAATGCTGAATGGTAGTGTGGCGGTAGCCAAAGTCACGGAAGTAATGAATATCGCTAGGGGCGAGGAGAGCACCGGCAGCGAGAGAGTGAATAGGAGCATCACCCCACTAGTACAGTCAGTAAAGATCCCCCGACAGAGTTCAAGACATAATATAGCATACCCGCTCATTCCAAAATCCTCCACTTCTGTCCATCATCGTGAAGAAGTCTTCATACTCCTTGCTGCGGAACCAATCCAGACGGGCAATCTCGAAGTTGCTCCAGAAATGGCACATGTTGTAGCTCTCGCCTTCCATGGCCTCTGGGTCCACGTCCTTCAGATTGTTGTCACCGGGGTCGGTCTGCAGGATTTCATCAGGCAGCTTGTCCTGCTTGTTCTCCTCGGGAGTTTCTGGTTGCGCCGGCTGCTCTAGGAACATCTCCCACAAACCCTTCGACTTGAGGTTGTTCTTGCGCTTGTAAGCAGCCGCATACCGGAAGATGTTGGGGACAGTCTCGCGAAGCTCTTTCACTGCAATTGTGAAGCCATAGGTCTTGTTTGCCTCGGCCATCTTGAGGAATGGATCACTGAAGTATCAGTCAGCAGATTGATCAGGAAAAAAATGCCACAGTAGGAATCTTACTAGGTGATGTCACAGAAGTACTTGATCTCGGGCTCCAAACGCCAGTACCACTCGTACTTCATCAGCAGAGGGTGCTTGTAGAAGTGTCTGTCGCAGAGTTAGCTTTATAGTCCAAGTCTCCTAAACCCGCCATTGACTACTGACCCTGAGTAGAATCGGCACATGTGGTGGTAGCTTTCCATTCCACCGTACATGATGGCAGCATCACCCTGCTTCCTGATGCCCTCTTTGGCAACCTCATGGTCAACCCAATCAGGGAATCCCCACATAGAGTTGTCAATCTTGCCGAATTCAACATCCGCGCTGGTGTAGTTCTTGACCGTCGCCTTGAACTCCTCGTCGAAGTCACCATCGTTGAGGAAAACGTAGGGGTAGTGCCACCACCGGTTGAAGTGTCTCTCGATCGACTTGAGCGACTGGATTACGCCCTCCAACTCCTTGTTTCTAGCAAGAACGACGAAGGCGGCATTGGCGCGGGGAGCCTTTGCAATTTCATCGGGCTCAATGGGCATACAACCCGTAGCAAAGACTTTATCATGTTTTTCGCTGATTTTTCTATAAAGCGCAGGAGGTTAGCTATTGCACACACGACCACCGATTGTCATGGAAATACGAACCGGATAGAAGGCGGAGTGCCCGCTGGAATTAGGATGCCCCCGGGAGAGGCAGGATGTCGGACAAAGAGGAGCAGAATAAGCACAATTACAAGGCATGGAAATAGTAAAACAAGACCCAGGGGTATAGAAATAGACGAATTGCCCTTTAGGCGAATCCTCCGTCGGAAAAAGGCGAATCTAGGATGGAGGCGGCCTTTCTCGTTTGGAGCATCTTCCAACGGCAGACTCGGCGCACTAGGCAGCCTTTTCGTGATGCGTTGAATAAAGCTCATGGGTGCGATTGTGTGTGAGCACACGAATAACGCTAGAGGTCAGCTGTCTGGCCCAAGCGACAGCACGGGGCCGTTAGGGAGATAGCGGAGAAATTGTGTCGGGGGTGTGTGATCAGAAGACAACTGCTTCTTGAACGGGAAAAAAAGGTGAGCGCACGATCAAACGGAATTCGAACCGTATAGATCACGGGAAGATCCGAAAGTGGAAAGATCTTTAGAAGTGAAAAAGAAAATGACAGCAAAACGAGTGGCCGGAGGAATGCCTCCTTTCGTCCCCCAACTTTCTCAGTCCCACGATAGATAGATGGGGATGGCGTCCGGAGAAACGCAAGCAACTGTGAACAGCAAGGTACACAGAAGAGAGAGGGACATCAAAACAGGATGAGGGTGATGGGGAGAGAGAAGACGGACGGGGAATTGGAAGAATGGATGGGTTCCAGAGGTTGCTTGCGCCTCCCTGGTCTTGGCGAAGTCCGGTGGCCTCTCAGTTGTCACCCTGAGACGGTTATTTTACCCCCAGGTTACTGTGGAGTGGCGCTATAACCAGTATTGTATGGTATTTTATGGTAATCTTCATTTTGTGCGATTATACTATGCTTCTTTGCTTCTTCGAACATGTCGGGGATCAAATGTTTGCCTCCGGTGCCTCTTATTTAACATATTCCCTTTGAGGTTTACGTGGACTTGATACTCTCTTGCATCTCCTTTGTTCTTTTGCCAAAATCCGATTGGCTTCTCATGGCGTGGTCTATAACATAGGGGGCCAGGTGATTCTAAACGGTAGTACCACTTGTACTAGCCCCAAGCTAACGAAGAAAGCTCCTGTGCGATCATTTTGATCCCATCTGCTGGGACTATGCTTGTGCTCGTGTACTCTGTACTTTGTACAAACTGTTGTACCTGAATCCCAAAAAAATATATCAGATGACACTCTGTACAGCTTATTGTACATAGCCCACTTGATCCACCATTGTTCGGCCCTACGAGGCAATGACACATACGGAGTACGCTGGAGGCAATGACTACGGGCATGGATAATCGGCTTTTCTGGAATGTCCCAGCTGGTCAACAAGGTCTTTTTTCACATCATTCCAAGGTCTACCCGGATAACTTCAAAACTCACATCCCTCCTGAGACGACTTGTCTCACTTGTTTCTATGTGAGCCGATACAATCTGTAGCATTAGCGCATGACGATCGAGGGTCCAAACTTTCCCAGGCCGTTAGGCCCGAAAGTCTCGCTTGTCAGGACTCTTGTTGGGACTGTCTGACCCTGTCATCTGTTCGCATTCAGCCTCTTATATGTGTCTATTATTGAGTCGTTAGGTACCTAGTACTTGATATTTCATACTCAAAGGGCGCGTATGCAGGTACCGCGTACGTATGGATATTTACCGTCCTCCGTTCAGGATGCCGATCTCGTAAGATCTGCACGTTATGTAAAATACAGTACTCTGTATGTAATTTTTGTTTTCAATTTAAATCAAAATTGCAAATTTAATTATCTGTATGGGTCTCATCCAAAGTCTGGACCCTGGACGAGATAATTTTCATATTGAACACATTTCTATATTGGGAGGTCTGTACTCTGTACATGTACTCTGTACTCCGTGTGTCATTTTCATTCTTCACCTATATCACTTCAACTATATCTTATGTACCTTATGTATACCGACGACGTCCAACATACCCGTGGACATGTGTACTACTACCTACACAGGACTACGTATACAAGGTTTTATTATTGCTCGTGTGCATGGTTACTCGAAGGAAATTTCCAAGAGAAGATATTTAGTTAACACTAATATATCACCACTTGCATATCAAAGTTATATAATTTCCCATGCACATCGTAGATCCTAACTTGTTGAGAAGCCAAAGGGTCAAAAGGCTTGGTTCCGGCCAAGATCATCCGTCATCCCATCATCACACTCCGCATGACAGTAAAGTAACTATATGGAGTCACCACCGTGGGGTTCCCCCTTTTTTCATTTCTTCCCTTCTACCACACCTCAATATGGATACAGTGCTGACGAGGCCATCGTTCTCTGAGGGCAAAACACCCATGATCAAAGTCCCCGAACCTGGCCCCTCATCTCATTTCCGAGG